TGTAGCTGAATCATCAACTAGTAACAACAACCAACCATTTACTGTGAGAAGTGGACGATTGGATAGGCTCAATCTAAATGGTTATATGGAAAATAGAAATAATGTTCGTGATAGGGAGACCCATATTGCACTAAAGAATGACTTGGTTGAACATATATGGGGACGTTTCGGCAACGAATGAAGAGATGACAAAAGTCGCTGTTAATGAATATTGTATTTTAAATTTTAATGGATGTCTTTGCTAAATAAACTATGTTATTAATATATTGTATTATTTTTGTACTTTTCATTTCAAAAATTAGAAATTTTTTTTTATTAATATTGTACTATTTATAATGCTCTAATTAAAAAGAAAAAAAATTAAAAATGTCTAACTTTTTTTAATTAATTATGTAAGTTCAAAAATTACAAATAAATAATAGAGATTAATACATGTTTTAAAAAATATAAAATAAAACAAGAGTGAGAAAGAGAAAATGATGGGGTAGTTAGGAGAGAGAATGGTGAGTAACCTCACCATTGTAGATAAATAAATAAGGTGACTCACACTAGTAGCTTATGATAGTGGAAGGTGAGGTGGAAGATGATTTGGAAAAAAGATAAATAAAAAAGATAGTTGAAAGTGAGGTGGAGAATGGTGAGTAACCTCACCAATGCCCATGCTCAAATCATTTTATTTATCTTTTTTCCAAATCATCTTCCACCTCACTTTCAAAGAGCATGGGCATTGGTGAGGTTACTCACCATTCTCCACCTCACTTTCAACTATCTTTTTTATTTATCTTTTTTCCAAATCATCTTCCACCTCACCTTCCACTATCATAAGCTACTAGTGTGAGTCACCTTATTTATTTATCTACAATGGTGAGGTTACTCACCATTCTCTCTCCTAACTACCCCATCATTTTCTCTTTCTCACTCTTGTTTTATTTTATATTTTTTAAAATATGTATTAATCTCTATTATTTATTTGTAATTTTTGAACTTACATAATTAATTAAAAAAAAGTTAGACATTCTTTAGTGCAATATTAATAGTCATTATAAATAGTACAATATTAATAATCACTTATGTATGTAAATTGAAACAATTTTTTTTTTTCTAATTTTTGAAATAAAAAGTACAAAAATAATACAATATATAAATAACATAGTTTATTTAGCAAAGACATCCATTAAAATTTAAAATACAATATTCATTAACAGCGACTTTTGTCATCTCTTCATTCGTTGCCGAAACGTCCCCATATATGTTCAACAAATCATTCTTTAGTGCAATATGGGTCTCCCTATCACGAACATTATTTCTATTTTCCATATAACCATTTAGATTGAGCCTATCCAATCGTCCACTTCTCACAGTAAATGGTTGGTTGTTGTTACTAGTTGATGATTCAGCTACATTTTGGGGTTGGTCATTGATAAATTCAGTTGCATCATAATGCAAATATCCATCTCGCTCATCTTCAACAATCATATTGTGCATGATAATACAAGCCATTACAATTTTCCATAAAATTTCGATCGACCATGCTAGACTTGGTTGACGTATTATTGCAAATCGAGCTTGTAACACTCCAAGCCGAAACGAGGGCATCATCTTCTTTTGCACCCCATTTTTCTGCCCTTACATTAGTGTTGCTCCCGTGGGGACCTTGAACAACATCATCATCACCAACACCATCAGCATCATCATTGGCTTGTTGTTGAACCCTAGGATCATCGGGTGGGGTTAAGTTACTGCTTCTTTCTCCCTCGGGAGTTGCTGGACTGTTTTGAATTATTTGGTTCACACCATAATGTTGCGACATTGGGAACATAAAACCAGAAGGATAATTTTGGGGAATTTGTTGCAAATTTTGGTTTAAAAATTGGTTTGAGAATTGTTGGGTGTAATTTTGGTTTGGAAATTGATTTGGGAATTGTTGTACAAATTGTTGGTTTGAATGCGTTGGTTGGTTAGGAATGTTATAAAATAACATCCTTTGAGCATTTGGATTATAAGGGTTATTTGGATCAAAATGAAAATTACTTTGAAAATTTGGAGAATTGGAAGATTGGTTATTTGGATTATTTTGAGAGGAACCACTTCCGTAATTAGGATTATTAAGATCCATAATCACAAATTATTTTTATAATGAAAAAAGAAGAGTGAAATTTTAAGGGTGAGAAACTATATCAATATTAGGCTCTATTTATAGATAAAATTATAATTATACCGTTGGTGAAATTATTTTTTGGAAATATGTTTAAATGAAGTGAGAAACTACCGTTGGAGCATTATAGCAATACTAACTGTTAAAAATTAATATAGCCGTTGCATTCTACAGCAAACATCAAACACAAATAGCAAACATCAAACACAACTTGCAATATTCATGACAAGTGTCATGTGATAATTGGACCTAAAAAAAATCAGATTCTTTGGTTTAGAAAGTCCGCAACTCACGCTCATACTCAGTGCCGCTTCAGACGTTGCTACCTCATACTGTGAGTAAGTAATGAGTCAGATATTTCAATGGTAAGCTAACTCAAAAAAAGTGAGAGATAGTTCTGAGGAGGGTACTGACTCACCGTTGTACATGCTCTTATATAGAGCAATTTTGGTTGCTTGGGTGATGTGTCATATTATGCATATAATACGATTGGTTGTGGCGTCACGAAGTATTGGGAAGGTGCACAATACATAAGAGACTATGTGGCATATCGACATTTTTAGGAACGTCTTAGTATAGATTAGTATAGATATGAAAAAGAGTTTTATGAGACTATGATTAGATGAAGTTATCAAGGAAATTTATCACTTGAAAACAAAAATGTATGGTTTCGTAGTAAAAGAAAGATGAAGGATTAATAAATTTGTAGACTTTTAATATGATTAGAAAAGGTTCGAAAAGTCCAAAATTTTTATATTGGATTGTCATTAGGATCGCTTTTATTAAGCAATAGCTAAGTTATTAGTGTAGGAAAATTAGTCAATTTTTTTTTATAAACGATGAACAACTTCAAACAAAACAGAAAGAGAAAAAAAGAGATAAATGTTGAATTATAGACATCGGTAGTCATTACAATGAAGACTTAGGGATGTAGGACCTTGGAGTGTACATGTACCTCAAGGAGGAATATGGATGGGTGAGAACTTGGGAACAAGAATACATGATCATATAGGAGATTCAATACCTGGCACGTTGGTTCAAAGTTGTGTGATCATGCAACTATCTTGTACAAGGTGTGCAAATGGGGTGGAAATTCGATGCGTTTGTGAATACCTTCTTCGATAAGACCACATAATGTGACTTAATGTAAATACAAGTGTAGATTAGTGACAAAATCCTAATGTATTAAAATTTATGCATTTGAATGACAAATATGAATTAGATTTGGGAGTAAGAAGAAACCATAAAGAGATCCTCACCCAAATCTCTAGCAGTTTTTAATCTCACTACTAATAAAACTACGTTCTTTGAGTGTATTAAGTGTCAACTGAAAAAGAAGATTAATCCTTTAATTACAAACAAATGAATTAAATGAGAATTTTCCTCATGACTACAACAAATTAATAGACTCATAGCCAACTTTAAATGAATCACGCCAACATGAAAGAGGGTTTAATTCGCAACAACAACTCATCATTGAAGTTAATAATTTGTTTCTTTTCCATAAGCTGAGTAAAGGTTCTCGTGAAAGCTTTTCTCTAGGAATCATTATTGGTGCTCTTATTTGACTTGGATTTTGGTGAGTTGAGGCCCTTGAGGATGTGGATTGAATAGGTTTCCCTTTAATTTGTGTTGTCTCAATGGTAAGGATGAGTTTATTGCAAGTCTTGAGCAAAGTTTTAATATGAGTTTTGTTCAAGATTCTTGTAATAAAGTCATCAAAGACTCATGTGATGACTCTGATGAGTCTTGGATTGAGTTTGAAAAATCAAAACTCAGTCGAGACTTTACATGGAGAACAAATGGGGGTCCATTAGTTGGTTGGTTGCCAATCAAAACTTGTCATCTCACCAAGCAAAAGCTTACAATAATTTTAAAAAATTAATTAAAGATATCTTACAAATAAAATAAATATATTTTGAAGAGAATAAGTAAGTATGGAGTGAGTCTTGGAATAATGTGTGAATTTGAAGAAAGTCTTGTATGAATCTGAATAATAAAAAAAAGTATTTAAAAGTTAATGAAAAGTTGATATAGTGATATGACATAGTCGAGAGTTTGCGTCCGAGTCTAGGGATAAACTCACCCTAACTCTTATGTACCTAAAATTCTTTTTTCTAACTACCTGTGCAATGCACGAGTTATTCCTATAAAATTGTATTGAGAGATAAGTGAGGAAATACCAGTAAGTCATTATAGGGTATAATATGTAATCAGAAACATGATTAAAGAAATTAAAATTTTGGAACTTTAATCGAAAAAAAGGCTTAAATAAAAGGTGGAAGTGCTAAAATTAAAGAGAGAATAGGAAAAGATTGAATTAAAGGGGAAAGAAGAAGATGAAGAGATGGAGTGTGTATGAAAAATAAAATATAAGTTTAACAAAAGAATTTTAAAATGGTGTAATAAAAAATTAATAGTGTAAGATGACATGTGACACTATGGTTGGAAAAATGTAATAGAATGGATGGGGGACATGTGCCTTTCTTAGTTTCTTGGTTATAGGTTTTAAATATTAAGTAAAGAAGATATATAATTCGTGTTTGTGAGTTTAAAAAAAACGATTATAGTTTTGGTGATAATTTGGACTAATGTATTATAGTTTAAAATAAATATGTTTTTTGGTGTTTAGAGAGCCACAAGGGCGGGGTGAGAATCGATCCCGGGACCTCCTAGAATCAAGAGGGAAGCTCTAACCACTTGATCTATCCCTCACTCTCTCTTTTAAAATAAATATGTAGTATTAGATTTAAATCTCTCTATAAATAAATAATATATTAACGAATTAATTTTTTTTTTAAAAAAAAAACATGTACGACTATTTAACACATGCTCTAATTACTAATTAATGGTCATCATTAATCCTCATCACTTACAATTCACCTCGAAGAGCCGAAGAGGGTTAATAACTTAATACAGGGTACTTTACAGAACAACCCACTACAAAATTCGCCGCCACCCTCTCTTCTCCCGCCGTTTCACTCATTGGAATTGCATAACAGGTAATTCTTCTGATTAATTTTGGGTAAATTATGTTGTTACAATCAATTTTATTTTCTGGGTAAATCTTGATTTTAGAGCATACTGAAACTTTCTTTTGGTGATTTTGAATTTGATCAACAATAAAAAGCTCATAATTTGAGAGTTGCTTTGCTGAAATAAGAGGTAATAATCATTGTTCTTGTGTAATGGCATAGAAAAGTTGTAACCAATTTGATTACAATTGTAAAGCGTCAATTGGCTATGAGTGTGCGGAATTTTTTTTGTTTATTTGATTGATTAATAGCTTTTGGTGGGTATTAATGTTTATTGGGTCGAATTAGTAGCCGAATTCAGTTGATGGGTGGGTTTTATTAGTGATTATGAACTATGTTTCTCCGGATTGGTACCCATGTCCAACACGAGTATGTGTCAAGTGGGTGTCTTGCCCATGTTAGACGGTCAAGGATTAGTGACACGAGTACTTGAGGTGAAATGAAGAGTATGAGTAACGTATAATATGAGGATGTGGGGAGTTCTTTTTGTGGCTTTCTGTCAATATATAAGTCAGTATTATGGAGTTATGTTACTCTATATTAATCAGGTTTCTTCAAATTGGTAGCTAATATTGAGGATGAATAACATACTTTGTGTTTGACCCGATCACTTGACTCATCATCAAGTAAGTACCCACATTGGCTTGGTCGTGGAAGAACATGACCCTGATCTGACTTGTTACTTATTACAAACGATCTTTTTTGCCTTGCCCTGACATTAACCCACCTCGACCTGCCTTATGACCAGCCTTAAGATCAATCATGTAGTTCTGGGACTTGGGTTTATCTCTTCTTCAGTTCATTGTTTTGAGAGCCTAAGGGGCTCTACGTCATACTTGAAGGACCCAATCTTGGTCTTTTATGACTCTCAAAGGTGCCATTTAGCATTTGTAGGCCCTTACGTGGCTACATGCTTTAACCTTCATACTTTTTCCTGAGGGAGAGTTTTTGTGAGATCTTCAAACTGTGTTCTTTGAAAAGCATTTTCCCAAAGTTTCTTTTCATAATTAGTCTGAAATTGCCGCGTCAGGCACTTAGACTTTAGTACCTCATTGGCTTATCAGAATTACTCTGTCGTCTCAAAGTGATTGTCTTATTAGGGTTGGCAACTTGGCACAAATTTCTTAAACTGTCTCTAGGCAACAAATCGATCAATATTGAATACACATCTACTATTTCTCTTATTAGTTTGGATAAGAGTACAAGATAGTCATCATGGGGGGACTGCAAAGCAAAACACCCTACTTAAAAAATACTACTCTTATCCATGAAGACGAATTGCCAATGTTGACAGAAACCATGGATGACTATGTTTGACAGTTGTTTTCTAATTTGTGGTCAAGTCTTTGTAATTGTTATTCAATGTTTTATTATTTCTTCTCTACTATCTTTTTGGTTTTAGAAAATGAAGCAAGAAGAAGTGACTTGTTGCCAGATTCAAGAATGGTATCCAAAATTTAAACCAGTCTCTATAAAGACCTTTATCCATGAACTCCCTGAATCCTTTATTCAGTATCTGGTTGGAGATTCTGGTCCTTTTCTGCTTCCCACGTCTGTGTCAAATGAAGACGCCTTGCCCAATAGGATTCATAAACCTGAAGATGAGGAGGACTACCAACTGTCGGAAGGATCTGAAGATGAGTCAGAGCCTTCATCACCACCCCCTTCGTTCCCAGAGCTTGAATTGAAGATCAAAGATTCAATCGAATCCCTTGGTGGTGCTGTCTTTCCTAAATTAAATTGGAGTTCACCAAAAGATGCTGCTTGGATCAGCACCACTGGAACCCTCAAATGCACTTCATTTAGTGACATAGCTCTGTTACTCAAAGCATCTGATTCTGTAGTCCACGATTTGTGCCATCCATATGATTCATGCAGTGACAAGACTATGTCAAGACCCTCTCAATTCTACCTTGCCTTGCGCAAATGGTACCCCTTTTTGAGACCAGAGATGGAATTCCGTTGCTTTGTCTGTTCTCAGCAACTTGTTGGAATTTCTCAACGTGAAGTCACTGCTTATTATCCTGCTGTACTGGAAAAGAAAGACGAGCTCAGAGATCTGATCCATGATTTCTTCCTTGACAATGTTGAAGGGAAATTCAAATCCGAAAATTACACTTTTGATGTTTATGTTACGAAAGACAGGAGGGTGAAGCTGATTGATTTTAATCCTTGGGGTGCATTTACACTGCCGTTACTGTTTACTTGGGAGGAGTTAGAGCAAGGTGGAAGGGTAGAGGAAGAGGTTGATTTTAGAATAGTGGAAAGCCAGCATACAGTACGCCCAGGTTTGAAGACTGCAGTCCCTTATGATTATATAGATATGAGCGCGGGAAGTGGTTGGGATCAATTTTTAAGGAATGCAGATGAGGAGTTGCAGCAGCAGATGAGAGGTCTCCAGAAGCAGGTGCATAAACATTTGCCATCTGGTTAGCTGGAGCTTACTGATTAGGATGTAGTATCCTATTATACTTTATTGTATGCTTAGCTAACTAAGTTCTTTCTTATTACAGTATTACTTTTGACTTAAAGAGTATTGATGTTGTATGAGTTTTCATTTTATTTTTTTAGTGTTAGTTTTAGGGGTTATGTTGTAGTAACATACTCTTAATACAATCCTCTCACATTATCTTAATAATAATTAATTTAATTTCATTGGTAATAATTTATTATCTAAACTCAAATGTTATATCATCCCAACGTTATTTAACATTGATTTCTTGTATATATTATCTTAGGTGACCTTAAATAATACTCCGTATCATATATAGATCTAGTTGTGAAGTACGGATTAGTAATCAATACAAATCTTATGATATAAAGATTAATTTCCATTGTTCGTTGTAAAAAAAGATCTTAATAACAAGCGCTTTGGGGCGTTAGAATAACTAATTAATGCGAGTGATATGTGCTTACAAATGAGCCTCAGATAAGCAATTTTACACAAATTAACAAAGTTAAATGTGTGCGTGTATTTGCACATTAGGGCAGGTGAAACAACCTTAATTTAAAACAAGATATATCCCATTAATGCCGCGTCCTCACACCTGTTATGGACTGTGTCATCGAGTCTAAAATAATCAAGCTTACAAATAGGCCTCATATAAGCATTACAGTTGCAAGCTTGGTCCTATACACTACACCCTTCCAGAATCCAGATCATAAACCCAAAGAGTACTTCATGCAATCACGCTCCAAGAAGATGATAGATAGACTATGTAAGGATGCTGGGAAGCAATGTTTCAACGAACAGCAGACACAGTTCTAACAGATGCCAATTTGAACCTAATATCAGCCCCAAATTGTGATTCCGTACACGATCGCTACCTGCAGATTTGATAAAAACCAATTTAGAATTTTAGACTAACAAGAACAACGTAGCTACAAAGGGTACACAAATGTTCACTTCCAACTATAATTCTCATCTTCAAAAAGTATTCAGCAAATGATCATGCAACATTGAAACATAATATACAATTTCATATTATTTTTTTTAAAAGATATACAATTTCATATTATTTTTTTTAAAAGATATACAATTTCATATTATTTTTTTTAAAAGATATACAATTTCATATAGATATTCTATACATTTGTATAAGATGAAGTGATGAACATTGATCAACCAAGGGTGAAATAAAATATGATTAAATCCACAGCCCAAATCAATCCGAACCCAATTAGTTATTTGGTTTGAATTATCTATTAAATCGAGTTTTTAGATCAGATCGAAGGAAACAAGTTGTTTTTTTAACAAAAAAAAAGAAAAAAAAAAAAGAAAAGAAAAGAACAAACCAATATTATATGAAATGTTGATGTTATATTTTTCGACTCCTATGTTCGTTATGTTACTTGTGAAGACTGATTTATGTCTTGCAGATCATTGTTTAAGTGTTGAAGTAATACAGTATTATATCAACATATTATTCATATGATTCTAGCATAACAGCCTATCCAACTCCCATTTTTCAGGCTCGAAAGGATTTTAAGCAAACTTTCACTTGAACATGTTTCATTTTCATAAGAGACCATTCAACCCAACTCATTGTAATCAGTTTTTGATTCACAAAGATAAAAGGGTTGAAGTTGGCTAACCTTAACTAGAAGACTTTTGAAGACTATTGATTACAGGGATACCCTCAAACTCTCCTCAAAAACTTCCCTGCAGTATTGGTAGTTGCTTGAAAGCTTCCAAATATCATTTCCAGTCTTGACTTACTGCATCCATATAGGAGGAACTTTGACTTACATGAAGTCCTTGAATTACTCAATCATCAAGTTCATTCATCATTCTTGATCAAGACAACATGCTCAGAAGAAAGTGTGTAGATATCTGTGCATCAATATTAAGTACAAATCAGATGCCAACAGATGGTTATATGAAAGCAATTTGTAGCAGGTTCTGTGGTCCAGCACAGAAGAATATAGAAAAGCTCCTTTCATATCTTAGGAGATCAATAAACAGTATATCATCAATAGACTAGATAATTCTACTAACAAAATATGGTAAACATACTTCCAACTAAACTGAGACATGCTCATTCAATCAAGCAACTTAGAATGGTAAAAAAATATTTTAAAAATGGCCCTTCCTAGTAAAAGAGAAACCATAAACAAGATACAGGCACTCAACCAGTATTATGATTGAATAAACAGCTAGTAAAGAATCTGGTTTCTAAATTTTCACTGAATAATATCATAAACTTTATTCAAACGATTTCAAGCATTAGGCATCAATCCACCATTCCAAAAAATAGGCAAAATTTCCAAATGAAAAATATCTGGGTAAAGGAAGTTATTTGTTCCAGCAACAAATACCAAAAAAGAAAAAGGATGAAAACATGGGCTACATGGCCACAAGGCTTGCCTGTATGATACACAATGGCATTTGGGGTTGAGTCATTGTAATTGAAAATCTGAGGGCTAAGGGCATCTATGGATTGTATTGTTTTCTGAAATACAATTTTGTCTTTGTGCCAGAGATCAGAAAATCTCAAGTATAGATCAACAAAACAAGTTCATATCTTTGATCAACGTGAATTAGTTATTTTTTAAAGCCAACTTACTTGGGGAAGTCGGAAGAAAAGGTTCCATATATATTAATATTACTGAGCTACTGACTGATGTATACAAAAGGATAACTTTTCTCCAAGACAAAGAACTAGTTGCAAATCAATAATTGTATGTAGTAAAGCCATTTCTTAGCTGATTTCAGTTTCTCAATGACTGCTGTCAGTCTCATCTGCTTTACAGGTCATTCCTTCAAATCTATTGAATTCGTTGATACTGCTTATAATTTTTTCAGAGAATGCCAACAAGCATATGCATATACTTTGAAGTAATCAATCTACCAGCTAAGTTTCAGCATAAGATGTGTTAATATAGACTAGTTGTTCCTAGATAACATTATATGCTTATTTTTACACTGGTATAGAGGGAAGGTGAGAGAAGGGAAGGGAGGCAAGGATTAGGCTGAAAGCTTTCCTTCCAACTTTTCAACTTTCGCAGGGTTTGCTTAGGGGGAAGGAAATTGTCTCCTTTGATTTCCCTTTCCTATATACTACATAAAACTAACAGAAGATGGTTCCCCCATGCTTCCTCCTGCTCCCAAACATGTAACCAAGAGTTTAGTAGTTTCTTGTTATCAAAATGCAGAACATCAAGCCACACATATAATAGATGCTAAATAAATGGTCATGGAGAAATAATTCAATGAGATGATATTCTTCTTGAGACTTGGGACTGCCACACATATAATAGATGCCAAATACATGGTCATGGAGAAAGAATTCACGGAGATGATGCATGGTGCTAGAAACTATGTACAACAATACAATGCAATTGGTACCTGGCAAATGTGGCATTCATACTCCTTCAGCGTGGAGTTCTTTAACCCTTGGTGGAACGTTATCTGATTCTCTGAAGCATCTCCTCTAGAGTGGTTCAACCAAATCATCATAACATGCACAAATGCTTTCACCACTCACCAGTAGTCTCCACAAGAACAAGCTCCGTCTTTGAAATGATGAAATCGGTTAGCATCTCGAATAATTATTTCCCGATTGGTGAATTTTGATATAAGTTTAATAGCAGAGTGACAGTTGACACATGCCCTGAGATTTTTTGTTATCTGAAGTGTGTTTCCTGATGGTGTTGAGATGAGACCATAAGCAACAGCTAACCTCTCACTATGATTACAAAGACTCTCCTGCATGTCCTCAGAACTTAAATCATGTAAATTAGATTCTGAATTAGGGGAAAATCCAGCCTCTTTCAACCTCCTCTCCAAATCAGCAAGCTTTTTCCAAATTTCCTCATATCTTGGATGTGAATTGTCTCCTACACGAAAAACTTGGAGCTTTCCATTGATTTCAATTAGACTAAATCCAAAATCCTTGCTCAACCCTCTCTCTTTCATAAGCTTGCGAATTTCATTAACCTGATCCCACATACGTGCTGTAGCATACAGATTTGATAGCTGGACATAGTGTCCAGCATCATATGGATCTATCGCAAAAACTTTAGCAGCTGCGTATTCTCCCATTTGTACATGGCGATAGATTTTGCATGCACTCAGAAGGGCACCCCATACCGTTATCCCTGGTTGCATGGGCATTCTAACAATAAATTTGTAGGCTTCTGCCAAGTAGCCAGCACGAGCAAGCAGATCAACAACACAAGCATAATGTTGGTGAAGAGGCTCTATACCGTAATTTTTCATGCTATGAAAAAAAGTCCATCCCTCTCTGACCAGCCCTGAGTTTTTACATGCCAGAAGAAGCCCAAGAAAAGTGACATCGTTAGGCATCACTTCAGCTTGCACCATTGCATCATAAAGATCAATAGCTTCTCGGCCCCGGCCATGCAATCCATATCCCACTATCATGGCACTCCAAACAACAACGTCCTTATCACGAATCTTATTGAAAACTTGCCTAGCTACTTCCACACTTCCACATTTAGCAAACATATCAACAAGTGCTGTTTTGACATATACATGATTTAGGTAATCACTTCTACAGACATAATCATTCATCCATCTTGCCAGATCAATTGAACCAACTTGAGCACAGGCTAGAATAGCAGCCCTCAGAGTGATAGAATCTGGCTTCATATCCTTCTTCTTGGCCAATAGTTTGAACAGCTCTACAGCTTCCTCAGCATAACCATTTTTAGCATATCCAGAAATCATAGCATTCCACAATATCACATTTTGTTTATTTATCTGATCAAATAAATACCTTGCCACCATTACTTCCCCACATTTTGCGTACATAGCTGTAAGTGAAATTTGCAAATCTTCCTCTGATTCGAGACCCATTTTAAGGACACAACCATGTAGAGATTTTCCTTGTTCCAAATAATCAAGATCGGCACAAGCTCTCAGAACACTCACTAGAGTAATCCAATCAGGCTTCATTTTCATCATCTTCATATCCCTGAAAAGTCTCAAAGCCTCCATGGAATTACCACTTTGTGCACATTTTGATATAATGGCGGTCCAAGAAACAACAATTGATCTACTACTACACAACAAGCCATTATAAGAAACAAGCTTCTTCGCATAATCAATTCTACCACACTCAGCATAAAGTGAAACCAGTCCACTTTGCACAAACATGTTAGAATTATGCCCAAGCCTACATATATGCCCGTGGATAGCCCCACCCATCTGAAGAAGCTTTAATAAGCTGCATGCCTTGAGCACTTGTGTAAGAATATAGTAATCAGGACTCACCCCAGCCCGCTTCATCCCAGCATAAGTTTCAATTGACTCACGCAACATATTACTTTTACTATATCCACCAACAATTGCATTCCACATAGATACATTTGGTTGAGGAAAGGCATCAAAAACCTGACGAGCATAGCCAATTTCACCAATTCTTAAGCATGCATTCATAAATTCAGAGACCAAGCAGCTTTCTTTAGTATGAAGTCCAGAAATTATAATTTGGGCATGAATCTGCTTCAAATCAATCACATGAGTTGAGCTACTCAAAAGAGATTTATAGAAGTTAGAAGCATCAGGGACATGAATTTGATGCTTAAGAAGGACAGCTTGGTCATTACAGTTTTCGTCAGTATAATCATTTACACAATACGAAGATGAAAAACGAGACCTCACATTAAAGAATCTCGATTTTGAAGTAGCAGAAATCAAAGAAAATAAAGCAGGAAAGTTCATGGACATAGAAGCTAATTTCAAAGAAAAACTGAAAGCCAAATATGAAGTATTATGGCTGTCCTGATCCTGTGGTAACTCGTGCTTATTTTCCTCTAGATTCGTCGGTTTTTGATGTAATAAGCCTTTCCTAGTAGTGAAGGAACCAAGCAAAAAATCCTCAATCAGCCATTATCACAATGAACTCTTGTATTCTTCCCAATAATCTGAGTATAGTGACCAAACACCAAAAAATTGAACAAAAATAAGGTTAGAAATATTCCTGTAACCTAAGATCATAAACCAACTTCAGTTGTAATCATGCTTCATCTAATCAAATACATAGAAATATTTAAAACGGAATTTATTGATTTAGAGCATTATGAAAGGAAAATAATGGCAACAAATAACATACAGAAACTCAAAACAAAATTGTGTATCCTCAATTAGTCAAATTGGTATTCAATTATAATGTTAAAAAACAAAGTAGCTTATCAAAATTTCCAATAAGTTGACATAAAATCGTTCAAATTATTCAAGTTATAAACTTTGCAATAACTTTAATTTAGCAAGAACCCATCAAAATTAAAACCAATTAAGCAAATGGGATTATTATAATACATTAAAAAATAAAAATTTAAAGAAAACCCAAATGCAGTACATATATATAACCTTAATTTAAAAAGCACCCATAATCAAAAACTGAGCAAACGCAAAGTTGAGCAAAAAAATGAAGAAGAAGAAACTGACATTGAGTGTTGCGAGCTGAGATCTGTGCTGGTGCTGCAGTACTGCGCGCCTCCTTGGCTTGACAGGAGTTGCTACTGTGTATTTGCAGCACCGGCGGGCATTGCGGTTGCTTCTGGTCGACGATTAAAAGAACTAATTTTGAAAAACTTGGTTTATTTTTATCATTTGGGATTCCGGTTATGTTCAGATCAAGTTATAATGGAAGTTTATTTCCTCGATAAACAAATGACATATGAAGTGATTGATCTTTCAACAAATGTATGCCCATATATAACAAAAATCCATTGATTTATTTATATTTTTTACCGTTTGATCTTTCAAGTAGTAAGCAAATTGTACTTGTATTTGCTCATTTTGAAGTGGAAATTTTCGGATTATTTTTTAATTTGCGAATATGATATGTAAACACTTCTAAGTAGAATTGGGAGTATAATTATACGAATGTACTCCGTAAAATACTTGAATCATTAAAAGTTACATTATATCGGGTTTAAGTTACTCTAGTTTTTTGATATATTGGTGTATGTAAAAGTTATTGATATAATTTAATCCCGTTTTTACAAAAACATATAATTAAAAAATAAATAAATAAATCATATATAGAAATTATAGGTTAAAACAATTTTTTTTTTAATAGAAGTTAATACAAATTTAATGACATCTCATTTGATAAAGTTTTTTTTTAAAAAAAATAAAAAATTATTGATTAAGAATTAGGCCATGTTCTCTTCACCTTAAAAAAATAATATTAAGTAAAAATAATTTCAATTCAGTAAAGTTTAGTTCAGTAAAATTAATTTCAGTTCAGTAAAAATAATTTCACTTTAGTAAAAATAAGTTCAGTTCAATAAAATTCAGTTTTCTTAAAGAAGAATTATAATAGAAAATCAGTAAAAATAATTTAAGTTCAGTAAAAATAATTGAAGTTCAATAAAAATAATTTCAGTTAAGTAAAATTAAGTTTTCAGTAAAAATAAGTTTAGTTCAGTAAAAATAATTTCAGTTCAGCAAAATTAAGTTCAGCAAAATTAAGGTGAATCAAACAGGACCTTACTTGTCATGTTTAAATAAGGTTAAAATTTAGTCAAATCAAATCATGTTATAAATTTTCAAACTAAATCAAATCAAATCAAATCTAAGCAAAGTTTGTTGTTGTTGTTTTCCAGGTATCCGAATTTTTTAGCAATGACAATATTTATTTATTTATTTATTTTTGAGGCAACAAGTACTGTATTAATTAGTGTCTCAACAATCGATACAAATAGTAAATTTTTCACAGTGATAGAAATTAGGAATTTGATCGATCAATTTGCATAGAATTGAAAAGGAGATCAGAATTGGTTCAAGATTGAGAAGTCAGGCAATTCCTGTTAAACTCGCTCATAATCTGATGCAAAACAAGGGGTGTCACCTTCAGACTGCCAAAACAATACAAATTTTATGAGGGTGTGACAATTTGTAATGCTACAAGACCATTTATAGAAGTTTAGGGTACTAATTGTAAGCAGAAAAATTGATGCACACTATCAAGTTTTTGAAACTGGTGGTCGTGGCCCCATGTAGTTCGTCACCAATCCCATAATAGCAAACCTGGAATCCAAGACAAGAAAACACATTGGAAGATTTAGAATCAGAACGAACATGAAAACTGCACAATTGCAATTGAAGAACCGTGATGATGCCATTAGCCATGGGAAGCACCACATGATGAGGTTTCATATAATACATTTCAATTCAACAGCACTCAAACTGAAATCAAACATGTTCAATTTTCCAAATCAAATGAAGTGATCGAATTTACAGCCTAGAGTTTTCCTTCCCTCTAAATGCTACCATAATAACATTAATAAAAAAATGAATACCTAAGGTGTGTTCTATTCATCTGATTTTTACTTATCTAAACTTATTAGCCCTTATTAGAACTTATTTTAGTTATAAATTAAACTTAGTTGCCCTGATTAACCCTTATCACAACTTACCTAAACTTATTTTTCCTGAACTCTGAACTAATCTTATCTTGAACTTATTAACCCTGAAATAAGTGAAAATAAGGTGAACAGAACAGGGCCGTATAACACATGATATATATATGCAGATAGATACACATGAATAAGGCTTACCCATGGTATCTTGACAAAACCTACCAAATACCCATATACCATCATGAGATTCATGACTGAGCCTACCAAATAACCATACCATCAAAATAAACATTATCAATAAAACCCAAGATGTAACAATGTTAGTTTCCAAGTTACAACTTTTGTCATCGATAGAACTCTTAAATTAGCCAAAATTTGACCATTAGAAGACTGCGTCATATGTAATTAGGTGAGTTCCATGTCCTATATGAAGTATTAAGCTTGTTAGCTTCTTCCAAACCACCACCAGAAATTGCAATGCATACGTGAAAAAAATTCTATCAAGTAGAGGTACCAAAAAGGTGCCATACATGAAGCACAGACTGAGAGGCAAGGGCTAATACGGAAACAGATATCCCACATCAAATATTGTTGCTACTTTCGGATCTATTTCCATTTTATAGCAACCTTTCAAGTTCTGCTTTCTTCACCTTCCTCTTTTCAAACCATCATCAAGCATCTTCTTAAGTATTCCATGGGATAGTCGAGAGAGTTATTCACTCTAAAAGCTTAATGCCACCAACGAAGTACATTGCAATGAAACTTTGACATTTAGTTTCCCTCCCTCAAAAGTGTTTCGGCTCTAGAAACCTCAGATAAATTTAAAGAACATGTCCTTTACATTACCAACCTTTACCATTTAGGTTCTTCTTTCCCTATTTGACCTTAAGATTCTATCAGTAATCTTTGCTTTCTTATAATGCTACCAAATTCAAATTTATACGCTAAAACTATTGACATGATAGATTTCTTATTGGTACCTAACAATACTATTGTCTAGAGTTTTAAAAACATCATAGCATATCCCAGGAGGCTCTGAATTTCTTGCAATTTTGGTGATAATTGATAATCATCTTACTTTCCTATCTCATTTGCAACATGGTCTGTCAAGTGTCAAGACTTTCAACACCCCCTCCCTCCTCTCAAATGCACACAGAAATCCAAAAAAAAAGGTGAACCAACTACTTTTTCTCTCCTGTATTAATAACTGCTCACTTCCTAGCAACCAAAATTCATCTTTAGTCCACTCAATCAGATTCTTGACAAGGATGGTAAGATGGGTGATCCTCAGAATTTCACATTGTAAGCAGCTAGCCTGCATGATTTCACAGTTCCATATTATATTCAATTTGCAACTTTAACTGAGAAACGTAATGCAAAGAATTTTATCTACTCTTAATGATATCTATGTATTGGTTACATTTGGTGGAGTTACATTTGCTTGTTTAAAAGGGTTTACTAAAGAAGGATCAGACTCGGATGTCAAACCATCACAAACCCAGAAAAATTGGGAGCAGATACAAAAGAGATTACCCAAAATCCATAAACTCAAAGGCTTGAACCACTGCAGAAAAAGGCACAGTTGGCTAAGCGCGAGATGCACAGAATGACAGCCTTCACGACTCTAGGTGAAGAGGATGTGCCCTAAGGCAGAAGAGGGACGCCTTTACAGTATCAGTAATTGATATAGAAGTCATGGATCTCCAAATCTTTTTTGCACGGTACAATTAATAATAATTAATGGCACAATACTCTAGATCAACTTTCTTTAAGTGAATGGCTATAGTTTCAAGTACAGTAATGAGCATCTCACTTTCACCTAGACACGTCTTTGCCTCACACCTAGCATGCCCTCAAAGACTGAATACCCTGTCACCCTACCACCTTAGAGAGTCTTAAACTTAAAGGCTTAAAACATTGCAGAAAAAGGCATCAGGCATGGCTGGCTAAGTCGTGAGATGCACAAGATGGTTGCCTTCACGACTCTAGGTGAAGAGACGTGACTGTGCCCTAAGGCAGAAGAGATGCACCTTTACAGTATGACTAATTGATATAGAAGTCATGGATCTTTAAATTTTTTCTATAAAGTACAATAAATAATGACACAATTCTCTAGATCAACTTTCTTTAAATGAATGACTACAGTTTCAGTACAGTAACAAGCATCTCACTTTCATCTAGACACGTCTTTGCCTCACAACTCCAGCATGCCTAGACTCCAAGACTGAAGACCCTATCACCTTACCGCCTTGGAGAGTCTCATGCCTTCAAGCATTGACATGATAAATCAACTATGCAAATAATTTTGCTTGACATACCAGGTTATCTGGACTAACATAAGCTAATCTAAAACCTCCAAACATACATAAACATGTCCAGTTTCATTAAGTAACCATCCGTATTCCGCATTTGTTTCTATAGATGGATACCAACAGGCTTGAGATAGCAAGAACACTAACTCTTAGCAAGCTAGCATGTAACATTGCTACAAGAACGAAATAATAATACCACTACTATGGTAATCAATAAATTCCAGGTTTTCATGAATAAAGTTCAAATTGGATAGACCTTAATAAACCCATCTTCCAAAAGAAAAATCATTCACTCCCCATGACAGATACATCCTGAGATAATTATACTGTAGATGAAATTTATATAATTCCCTATCAAAGTTAACCAGTCTAACCACATAGGATGCAACCAATCAATTCGAGCACGAAAACGAGCAATAACCCAATTGCAAGAACATAGAAGGGCGAATATAAAGGGTGAAGGGAAAACTCACATCATAGCCATAGAAATCTGCTTAAGATCATTCTCCATATTCTTCATATTCACTAATGACTGAGCACAAAAGACTATAGCAAGCCAAGATCCCAACTTATACTGCAACAATCACAACAATAAAAAGGCTAAATTAACAAGATTTCTTCTAAATAATCCCAATCTCATTCAAAAATTATGATTACAATTTCTGGGAAAATGTAGACAAAAGATCCATTGAACAAACAGCTTAAAGATTGAATCTTTAATGCGAAAAATAAACAAACAAAAGGGGTTGACAATTTAAAATTGGGAAAAAAGGGGGAGAAAAGAAATAGAATTACCCTGAACATGGCACCGACGACGGCGCATAAGACGGCGATGAAGCCGGAGTAATCGACGGGAAGTTCAGGCGGAATATCTTGAGGAGCTCTGCTGAATGGCTTGGCAGCCGATGGTAGCCTTGGATCGCTGCCTGATGAAGACATTCTCTCTCCTCTTTTCTTCTTCTGTTTCTGTTTCCGGGTTCTGTTCTGCTTAGTGCTCACTACTGCTGGAGCCGGATGTAATCAAAAGGTTTTGTATGGAGATGAAAACTAGTTTTTGAGCCGGACAGTATCCCCGGTTATAAGGGAATATTCGTATCCGATTTAATTTGGAAAAAGACTTTGTACAATGTTCATTGTTTCAAATGTAATCCAAAGTACTAATGTAGTGGAATTGGAAATCATGTCTTGTCCAACTGTAAGTGGTAGCGTGATGTTTATTTTTTGATTAGTAACTCTTGTTTGTTCTAAATACTCTATCCGACTTGTCCAAGTATAAAGTGGTGAAAACATGCATTAAATGTTCCCGTCAAAACAAAGAGTCTACATCGATTACTACTATAACTAAATTGCTCTCAAATTCCGGCGATTCCTCCTAATTTGAGTTAGCACGCTAACGAGCGTGTGGTACAACACCCTCCTCCAAGTCACTCAACTTAGTAGAGCTTAAGCACTCTAATATATAAACAAGGTAAAAACTCTTCCCCCAATCAATGTAGGACTTTTACCCTTTCATTTGTGTTTCTCTCTTCCATCTTTTTCTCTCAACACTCTTGTTATATATCAAGAACTTTCAATAAACATAGACTCCATATACCCCTTGATAAACATTTCAAATTTATCTAAACTAATTAAATTTAGCATATACAGAGTATTTAAGTTTCGACTTAGTTCTATAATTGAGCTCGTAGGGTTGTACCAAGTTTACATATCTCAGGGTTGGCTTAGCTTGACCCGTACCCTAACTCATAAAGTCATACGAGTAAGTTATATGTTGTGCCGCATGGCTCAGAGCCTCGAACCCATGTACCCATTTTGTCACGTTGGGTCATGTTTTTGTGTTTTAGTTTTAGAGTTTTAGACCAAACTTCACTTTCTCCTCTTTAGAAGTGTACGCTGAATCCTCCATTGAAGTGGCTCTAAGCTTTCTCCCTTAATTGAAACAGCTTCAAAGGTAAGATTTTTTTTTTCTGTTGTTTTTTAATCGAGTATCAATTTCACAATCTAGGGTTTATTTTAATTGTAAGTGTAGTCAATTTAGGGTTCTTGTAAGGTGGACTATAGAACTATGGGTTATAATTACTGAAGTTATAGAAGGTTATCAAAGTGCAATTTACGATGATATTATTAAGAAAAATGTTGAAAAACCCCTAAATTTGAATTATAGTTTTTGAGAAAATTTAGCGCCAATTTCCTAACATTAGGATTATTCTGGTTGTGCAAAATGTACTGTGTTATTATATTTGTGGATTTGACAAGCAAACCAAATTCAATTTAAAATTGATAATCAGACACAATGTAATGTGATTGTGAATTAGGTTTTTTACTCCTTCTATGGGGTTTTCTTCTCTATGGGTGGGAGGATTATGATTTCAATAAGCAGTGTTTAAGCTCTAGTTGAATTTTTCGAGCTCGAGGATCGTAATTGTCCTTTTTTTTCCTTCCCTTTTTTGGTATCGTCGATATTTGTTGAATCAAACCATTAATTACACTTTGTAGTTGTCACTTGCCAGGAGCTCATGCTACTAAATTATGAACTCATCATCAGAAATGGATGTTGTCTTTACACTTGTCAGACTAGCACAAGTATGGAACAATATTTGAAAAACGGAGGGAGTATTTCTTGATTTGTTCTCCGTTCCCTTAGTCCCATCCTTGTACTGGAAAAACTCCTTAAAACCCTACCGGAAAAGTGGGAAGCAGAGCAAGAGTGATTGAGTTCCAATGGCAGATATAGCATCCCTTTCTCTCTCCTCCCCCTCCACCTCTGGAACAACCTCCTCCACAACCACGACACATTCATATTCATGTCTCCAACCTCAAACACCAAAAACCCCTGAAATTTCTCCTTCAATGCTGAGATTATGGAGGCCACAAGCTCAGAGAAATCTCCGAAATCAGTGGTCCAAATTATCCTCCTGTAGAGATCAATGGCGCTCTTCTATTGCTTCAGGGCGATCCCATGCCACCTCTCTTGTTAACTCTTACCTCTCTATCAGGTACTATAATATAATCCCACTTTCTATTATTTTTCTTAAACATTTCTTTATAGTTTCCTTATTTCGACTGTAGTTGTATTTTCAATTCAATAGGATGGGGTCAAGTGCATCAAACAATGATTTATCAATTATTGATTGATCCACGCTGTCTATGTCAGCATGCAAAACTGATGGACATTTTTAAGTCAATACATTTGAGATATGACATTGAAATTTATCTGAACAGAAATCTTTAACCACTTTTAGGAATTAAGATGATTTGGGTTTTCATGCAGATATATGGATGCTATGGATTTGGGTGTCTTGGATAATATGCCCAATATACGGAAAAAGGCTTGTTCTAAATTGCTTAAGCAGCTGGTTAGTAGAATGAGTCTTTTTTTTTTTTTTTTTTTTTTTTTAAGGCTAAGCTTTCAGCATAAGTTGAGTGAGGATATAGCAAGTATATACTCTGTATTATAAATTTGGTTAAACTGTTAAATTAATGACAGTATGTATACAAGGGGACTTTTAACTTGTTTTTTTGTTATTAATCATTTTCATGTAAAGGAAAATGTATGAACAGTTTTTCTTCACCCAAAATAGATATTTTTTTTTTTTTTTTGGGGGGGGGGGTTGTTGTTGGAAGTATCTCTAATTTGATATTGTTTTAAAACTTATGTCAGGAGCTTCAACGCAACCAACTTTTATCATCCTACAAGGCTATGGTATGTTTTCAAGATCAAGGATGTATTCTCTTCACCTAAAATAAGGTGTTCATTTTTTTTAAAAAAGGTGTTCAATTATGAGGTGGTTGTAATTGTGATTTAACTCAACTTTGAATGTACTTTTTCATTGATATAATAATAATAAAAAAAAATACTTCCTCTGTTCCCCTTATATCTACATGGGGAGGGGCCCATGTGATGAGAGAGATAAAGAGAGAAAACATGTTCAAAGAGGAAAATGTTGCAATATTTTTGAAACTTCCTAAACTGGTAATTGTTGCAATATTTGAGGAACAAAGGAAGTATAAAATAAATAAGAGTAAACTTTATCCAGCGAGATCGTGTTAGATCCGTAATAATGTGTATTCATATATCTAAATTTCATAACTTTAATTGATGCAAATTAAAGGTATATGGCAATAAGCAAATGGAAATAAACAAAAATTTGGTTTGGGCTTATGTGGTATGATTTTAATAAGAATAAGCAACAAGTTTTTGTAATAAGTTGAAGTGAGAAGATCTTGATTTTTCATCCTCCGAATTAGCTAGAGAGTATATGCATCAAGAGCAAATGAATATTGGTATGTCATGTAAAAAGAATCACGAATATTGTTATGTCAATTAAGAAGAGCAATAATCAAACCCGAAGATGCCCCCCTCCCTGCCTAAGGTGTGCTTAAGGTGTAAGTTTGAAACTTTCCATAGGCTGTATCCCTAAGATATGCAGCTTGTTGCTGGAGTTGGGTGTTTTTCGTCATTGTTAATTTTTGTCAGATTATTGGTGGTAGCCTTCTGGGATTAATCATCTTCAACGGAAATGCTATCAAGAGTGATGTCTGTAACTTAAGTTTATAACTATCGTTGGATGACATTTTTGCAGGTTGCAGTTGTGATTGACATGGTGACTTTGAGCAAATCGATGAGATGCTTTTCAAAGACAACTACTGGCAGTGCCATTGTACAGTATTCTATGTTTTCAGAGAATAGCAATGATACTGGTGATGGTGGAGGAGCTCCAGTTGTCACTTTTTTGTCTGTCTCTGCATTTGGTATGTTGATAATTGTTGGTTTTCCTATGCAAGATTTACAAATTGGAGGTTAACAACTCCATGTTTAAGTACCTTTAGCTAATATACCTTACTGCTTGTTAATTTTTTTTCGATGGAGTTTAATAAAAATATAATATCCTTGTGCAAAATCTTGACCTCTACTTAGCAATTCATGTCATTGTACATGTTAATGGAAAATGACTGAGCTCCATAGAAAGCGAGCAGGACTATCTTCAAATATATTACTGATGGAGTTTTTTAGTAATGATGTCAGCTAGATATCATTGTTGATTTGCAATTGTATTTGTTCATTATTGTGTGTTACTGGTAACAAAAGAGATTTAAAAGACAAAAATGATTTTACTCAAGATATGTTGTTATGGAGAGGTTAGGGTGGTTGAGTAAGATGTGTTGCTCACAAGTCCTAGTTTAATTCACTGATTGAAGATCAACATGATGTGTGGGAGAAGATTGTCCTAATGAATCAGCCTTTTCATCTAATTGTCTTACAAATCCTAGATTACTGGCTTAAAGTTTGTTTTCTGGGAAAGGTTTGGTAAACAACACTTATTTTTTATTTTATTTTATTATTATTATTTTTTTTTTAAGTTGTGAATTTTATTTCCTAATTTTTTTCCTGTAGTTGGTCTCATGTAGGGAATATGGGAAATGTGGTAGAGGTGTTTATTCACGATTATCACTGACTATAATATCAGATAAAATCTACCTCTGCTCTTATACTCGTTCTTATTTTGCCATTGCATAACAAATAGCAAGCTTTGAAGTTTGAACTTAAATCCTTCAAGGACTGCTCAGTGTAGGCATCAATGCTGATAGTGTCAATTAGTCATTAATGCTGACAATGCTGTTTTCTTCTTCTGATTACCCTCTTCCATAGAACATAATTTTTTGCAATGTATTCTCTACTTTAGGACTCAGATTTTATGCTTTACTTATAAACATTTGATAGAACTACACATCCTTTTATCTAAATGTCACTGTCTACTTTGTTATGAGCAAACTGAGCATATACTACATTGTCTATTTATTCAATAATTAAGTATTGCTTTTGGGGGGATTGCATCTGAGCAAATATTAGAGCTGTTACATTCCTATTTAACTTCCAGTGTTCATTATATAATCATCTTTTGTCCTTGATTTAGTGGATGCATAAAGTCAACCAATTTAGTATTCATCCATGCTCTGTTGAAAGTTAGTTTCTTGATACGGTATCAAGTATCAGTGAGCTAGCTGAATGATATTGGTTGAGAACTTGACTGTTCAGATCTTTGAAACCTTCTTTCCAAGCAAAATATTACTTCCGCCATTGGACAGTGGACAGATTGAAGATTCATTTTTGTAACATAGCAGACAGACTGAACACATCTCTACACAATTTAGTACCTACTCGGTGGATTGTAGGAATGGTGTGGTGGTTAGACATCAACCTTCCTGCTTCGGGGCACTGGGTTTGAATTATATCTCCTCCTCCACCCTGCACAGCATGAGATTAAGTAAAGAAAAGACTGATCTTTGCTTATTTATAATCACCATTATAATTGTCCTAAAATCATGTAGTGGGGTTCATAAAGAGGGGGCAATTTGGACAAAATGCAATGAGGACATCTTTTGTACGTAGTACTTAAACTCATGCTGAGCCTTTCAAGCTGAAGGGGGTGTTTTCTGCCTTATCATGAAGAAAGCTTATGCATGTAATGAATAAGTTGGTCCTCTATGGCTCCCCGGATGGATTCGGCTTTTAATAGTCTGTAGAGTAAGAATTAATTTGTTTCAGCTTTTGTTCTTCCTTCATAATGCCATGATCTCAGTTGTATACTAAGATTTTGTGAATGTTTTGTTCAATTGCACAAAATATGGATTTCCAAAACTTTGGCTCCCAACTTGACTCTGCAGAACGTCTCACTAACACACTCACTGGCTCACTGCATACAGTACATCACATTGACACTCCTTGTATGTTAACAGGACCAATTTAGACACTAGTATGAATGTGCCAGATTTCATGTATCCTGCTTTTCTTGATTTAAACTTTTTAATGTGGAATGATATGTTTAAACTCTTCATGTATGATACTAAAAAAAATTGTGCTATCTTTTCTTAATCTTGTCATATCTGATAAGTGTTAGCACTTGTATTTTAGAGATGTTGGCCGAGGAGCTTGTCGAAATGTTCAAACAGGAGCTTGTTTTGAAGGTAATTGTGTTAATATAGAATTCACATTACCTCTTCATTTTCTGTGTTACTTTTTTATTTTTTACTTGTGTCAACAGCGTCTGCTTGTAGTTGAGCTGCTCTCCAAGAGCTATCCAGAATTAGAGCAATTCAATCAATTGTCCTGGAAAGATGAACTTTATCATGGTGAAACTAATGAATCGAACATGTGCAACTTGTACTCAAAAGATACTGCTGAGCCATTTCTTCCCAAAATAAGTGGGTGGCAATCGAAAACTTTGACTGTGGAGTCTGAGAAAAATCCAAGCCACGATGTTTTGCAGGTATGATGGAACCAAAATAACATGTAAACGTATGCCTGGAATGACTGCAATTATGATTATTTATTTTGTAATTTTGTAAATGATAGGTATCCTGTCAACTGTCAAGTGTCAAGTTCAAAGTCTTTTACCTGTCCTGACTCTGAAGAAAATAACTCTAATCTATGTGGTATTAGGCATGTGTTATTATAAGTTTACAGTTAGTGTGGAGATTTTTGTGTAGCTGAAGTCTTAGCAGTTCTCTCATGCCTTTTTCTTGTAGCTCTGTTACTGAACGTAGTGGACAATTAATTTAGTGTAATTTGTTTCTTAGTGCCATAATAGGTCAGGTTTTAGGTTATTCCCTACTCCAAGGGCTTGCATTGGTTATAGAGCACTGAAAGTGTGCCACCATGCTAATTCCTCTACCCCTCGACAGCCCGATCCCTCAGTATAACCATATTACCCAGTGAACTATGTAGACTTCCTGGTAAATTAGAAGTACAAAAATCATTATATAGCCCAATTAGCAGACTTTTAGATTATTAAGATATTTTAAGGTGACTAATTTCTTGAGAAAGGAAGGATACACTAGTGTTTATCACTCTACTTGATTGTTGCGACATCGTCTAAAGTATGTACTCTTAATTGTACCTTATAATTCCTCCGTTTCACTATATTTGCACACTTACTACTTTCCAATGTTTCAAAAAAAATCCTAGCACTTTTCTTTTTGGTAATTTATCAAGTTAATCTATTACGTTTATTCATACTTTGCCTATCCCCTTCACAATATCTTCCTTGTAATATATGCTTTGTACTTCTTACTTCTGTATAATCACATTGGTTGCTTTGCCTCTCACCACTTGCCTAAAGATATGTGCTTTATTCAAGTTTTGCAATTTTAGTGAAGTTGAGGAAGCACTTGGTTACTTTGCTATTATAATTTTAAAAAAAATGGTTGTCTCCTAATGGCTAATGCACCAGATTCTAAGCCACTGCTGCTATATGTAACATGGTGTGTGATGCTACTTATGACAATTATATTTATTTGTGTAGGTGCCATATTGCTTTATTTTAATTTCACAGTTTGTGTTTACATGCTATTGTGAACACTGATCTAAAGGGATGAACTTAGTATAGGAGTGCTATAAATTTGATTTCTAGTGTTTATCTTTCTGTGACAGGTCTATCTCACAACATGGCTTGCAGAGGTCAATATAGATACATCCAGGTAAAGTATACTACTACTGTAGATATGAAAGAAAGGACGTAAAGAAAACCAAAAGTTTATAACCAGTCACTCTTGCTTTTATTAACATATGTATGCAGAGGGGGTGGGTTGTACTTTTTCATAGGATCAAACAGGGCGATGTTGAATTTCTCCGTATTAATTTTATTGGAAATGTCATCAATCTCTCCATCCCATAATTTTACTATGCACATCAAATTGGCATTAAGATATAAGAAAAATGTTCAGGGTAGAATGGAAATTTTGAAAGTGGATAGCGAGAGAAAAGTGGTAAGAGCAAGTATTTAAATTGAGAAAGATTTTTTTTTTATGAATATCCCAAAAAGTTTATAGGAAGTTGATCATGGGACGAAAGCAGCACTTTACATTGGTGATTAAGGCTAGTAAAAAATTAAATAGAGCCTGAGAATCTGAGCTTACCCCTCTACTCTCCTAGAGGAGCCAATCACCCCCTTTTCTAAAACACCTACATGCTAATATAGCTATCACATTGATAATTTCATAGGTTCATTCAGGTTCCTGCGTAACTTGACAGGAACTTAAGATGAGCTTTACCCACTCTCACAAACCACAAGAGAGCAATAAGGGTTATTAGAAGTGAAACCTGCAAAAACCAATTTTACATGTATGCACCATGTCATCTCACAATGATTTGTAGTGGAGTTGAAGTTAGTAAAAGATTTGTCATATTACTTCTTGCCACACTAGCTTAGAAAAGTCCTAGCTCTTTGTTTGGGGAGCGAGATAGAAGGGAAAGGAAAGAGGCAGAAGGAGTGGGGAAGATGGAGCTCCATTTCTCCTTCAAATCTAGTCTCCAGTTTTGGTGGGATGGTATTTCCTTTTCCCCCTCTGATAAATTTGTCACCTCCTAGTTAGGCATTGGGTTTTAGGGAATATTAGCTTCTTTATCTAATACCATTTCCCAAGGATTTTGACATCCTACTCTTATAAAATTATTTTATTTTTCCTGCAGCTTGTAGAAATCATCTAAGCATACTGATGTGTTTCATGACTTTCATCAGGGTGGAAGAAATATTTATAATTGTTGCGGAGGAACTACGAACGAGCTTTTCATGAGCCTTTCAGATGCTGACATTTACAGGAAAGAGATTATGATGAAGTGTATAGGTCATAAGGTCATATATAAAGATTAAGAAAGCTTAGGCCAAATATTTGTGTTGCCTTGATGTTATTCTTTTGTTCTCGCGTGTTATGTTATTATTCTCCTTGTTTACGGATGTCAGCTAATTTATTTCAGTTAAAATCATCACCATTGTTTATTGCCTATTAGCGTGTTAAAAATACAATGTTCTCAGATCTCTATTCTTTCGCGCTCCTTATCAGCATTTTATCTAGGCAGTTATGTGGAGAATGGAGATGTATAACAGTTTCAAGCTTCTCTTACGGTTTTAGGCTGAACCAAAAACCTCTGCCAAAGTTATTACGGAGTAGTTAGCATTGGCATCTACTCTGTAATTTCGATTGTTTATATCCTTCCATTTTCTTTTCATTTTTCTATTTTTTTTAAAAAACTTTGTTAATGAGTTTGCCTACACCTCTTTCTGTCTTTCCTTCTCCCTGGTTCTAATTTTTTGGCCTATTGATCTTGTTGGAATGTGACTCGACAATCAATCGAGGCTTGGCATATAAGCTAAGGGGATGAATTACTTGTGTTAAGCAAGGAAGCATTGGATGGGTCAACTTCAACTGGGCATATCTCTCAAACTACTTGGAGTTTTGAGGTGATTCAAGTTGGAGGTGAAAGCTTGTTTCAAGAGCTTTTCAATGATAGGTCATAAGCTTAATTCCGATAAGAAACGAGGAAGTTATAGCTGTTTTACTACGAGTTGTCTGTGCTGACGCGAACAGGGGATGCACGTCCGTGCCAAATATGGCACGTCCGTGCTGCTGCAGTTCCAGACGAGCAGTAGCTACTGGAATGAGTTATCTGGGCTTGCACGTCCGTGCCTACGTGATACCCTGTCCAAATCCGTCGAGGGTATAAATACCCATTAAGGGTTATTTTGTTCATTATCCCCAAATTGAGTGAAACACAATTAGAGTTAGGGTTCTTGTTCTTGAAACCCTTGTGATTTAGAGTGGAAATTAGTGAGAGTTTAATCTTGTAAACACTAATTATAATCAATACAATCATTCTCCTTATTATTGGGTGGGTTTTATAGTCTTCAAGTAATTGCTTGAAGGATTTTCCCACCTTCCAATTTCTTGTCTCTTTTACTATCAAATTTCTTAATTGTTCTTGCTAATTACTTCAATTATCAACCATTTGCTCTAACAAATTGGTATCAGAGCTAGGTTAGATCCTTGGGTAAAAAATTAGGGCTTGTTCTTGGTTGATTGATAACTGAAGCTATTTTGGCCATGGGAGGTTCAAAATTTGATATTGAGAAATTTGATAGGTCAATCAACTTTGGGTTATGGAAGTTGAAGATGAATGCCATTTTGGTTCAAAATGGCTTGGATGAGGCAATGCTTGGGATTAAGAAGAAGCCTTCGGATATGTCGGAGGAGGAGTTCAAAAAGTTAGACAAGAAAGCTCTCTCCTTGATTCAATTGAGTGTTTCTAATGAGGTGTTGAGGGAGGTAGCGAAGGAAACAACGGCGGCGGGGTTATGGTTGAAGCTTGAGTCGCTCTATATGACAAAATCAATAACCAATCGACTTTTGTTGAAGAGCAAACTACATGACCTCAAACTTGAAGAAGGTAAATCCTTGAAATCTCATCTTGATGAGTTTGATTCTATAGTTATGGACTTGCATAATATAGATGTTACTTTAGATGATGAGGATTTAGCTATACGTTTGTTGTGTCCATTGCCTCCCGATTATAAGCATTTTAGAGAGACAGTTTTGTATGGTAGAGATGAATTGTCACTTGAGGATGTTAGGAGTGCATTGTTGCAAAGGGAGTTAATTGAAAATCAATTAACTATAAATGATGACCTTATTCATGGTGGTGAGGGTCTTGTTGTGAGAGGTAGACCAAAGGAGAGGAACAATTTCGGTGCTAAATCCGGTACTTCTAAGTCTAGATCAAAATCTAAGCTTAAAAAATGTTGTTTGTCATGCTTGCCGTAAGAAAGGCCACATTCGGAAGTTTTGCCCGGAGAAGGGGAAAAAGGATAAAGGTAAGAGTGTTTCTAGTACATCTTACCATGACGATTCGGCGGCGGTGGCTCATAGTGATAGTGATGATTCAATTCTTCTTGCGGTTGAATCGAATTCAAGGTCCAATGACAAATGGATACTTGATTCGGGGTGTTCTTATCATATCACTCCCAATCGACATTGGTTCTCTACTTATGATAGTGTTCAAGGTAGACTGGTGCTAATGGACAATAGTGCGGCTTGCAAGGTTGCGGGGATTGGGACGGTTAGGATCAAGATGTTTGATGGAATGTTCCGCACTCTATCAAATGTGCGTCATGTTCCGAATATGACTAAGAACTTGATCTCATTGGGCTCTTTGGATAGCAATGGTTGCCGGTGCACTCTTGAAAAGGGTGAGCTTAAGGTTGCTTTGGGAGCTCAAGTTGTGATGAAAGGCAAGAAGATTGGCTCACTCTATGAGTTAATCGGGTCGACGGTTGAGGGTTCAGCATCGACGGTGTCTTCGTCAATGTCTGAGTCCGATAATACGAAGTTGTGGCATATGAGGCTTGGGCACATGAGTGAAAGAGGTTTGTCGGAATTGTCCAAGAGGGGTCTATTGGGTGATCAAGCTACGGGTTCTATGGAATTTTGTGAGCATTGTGTGTTCGGGAAACAAAGAAGGGTTAGCTTCAAGGCGGCCACACATAGAACCAAGGGTACACTTGATTATATTCACTCGGATTTATGGGGTCCTTCTAGAAAGCCATCCTTGGGTGGTCGCCGCTATTTGCTCACCTTTATTAATGACTATTCACGCAAGGTGTGGGTTTTCTTCTTGAAAAGCAAAGATAAAGTCTTTGATGAGTTCCAAGATTGGAAAACCTTGATTGAAAAGCAAACCGGAAGGCAAATAAAGAGGTTGCGAACGGATAACGGCCTTGAGTTTGTGGAGAAAGAATTCACCAAGTTTTGCAAGAAACTTGGCATTGCTCGTCATCGCACTTGTACCGGTAGACCACAACAAAATGGAGTGGCAGAAAGGATGAATAGGACTTTGCTTGAAAAGGCTCGGTGTATGTTGTTCCAAGCGGGGCTAAGCAAGGGATTTTGGGCCGAAGTAGTGAAAATGGCGGCTCATGTGGCAAACCGATCACCACACACCGCTCTAGGGTTAAAGACGGCGGAGGAGATGTGGTCGGGTTCGCCGGGAGATTATTCCGGATTGAGAGTCTTCGGTTGCCCGGCTTATGCATATGTGAATGACGGGAAATTGGAGCCTAGAGCAAAGAAGTGTATCTTCTTAGGATACACGGATGGGGTCAAGGGTTATAGACTTTGGGACCCTAGCACATCAAGAATCATCACTAGCCGAGATGTTACCTTTAATGAGTTCGTATTTCTTCAAAAGGGTGATACTTCTTCTTTTGAGCTTGCCGAGAAGGAGGTGGAGAATGATAACGGTGTTGATACTCGTGAGAAGGTTGATGAAGTTCTTGATGATGATGGTGGTGTAAAGACACCACAAAAAGGTGGAGATGTTCCTTCCACTTCCTCCCCTAGGAAGGCCACCACCCCTAGGAAGGAACAATCTTCCCACCAAGTGCAAAAAACAAGTCTTGCACATGGACGGGCTAAGAGGCCTATAAAGCCCCCGGTCCGGTTCGATTTTGAGGAGATGGCGGTCTATGCATTGAATGTTGCTAGTGATGTAGTCGATATTGAGCCATCTTCATATACCGAAGCAATGGAGTGTGTTGACTCCAAAAGATGGAAATTAGCCATGGAAGAAGAGATGGAATCTCTTCACAAGAATCAAACATGGAGTCTTGTAGAGAAACCACGGGGCAAGAAAATTGTTGATTGCAAATGGGTCTACAAGTACAAAGAGGGAATTCCGGGAATTGAGGAGCCAAGGTGCAAAGCAAGAGTTGTAGCACGTGGTTTTAGCCAAGTTCCGGGAATCGACTACAATGAAATTTTCTCACCGGTGGTAAGGCATACTTCAATTCTATTCGTTCACTACTTGCTCTTGTTGTTATGCATGATTTGGAGTTGGAGCAATTAGATGTGAAAACCGCATTCTTGCATGGAGAGCTTGAGGAGGAAATCTACATGCGGCAACCGGATGGTTTTGTTGTTGAGGGTAAGGAGGAGCATGTATGCTTGTTGAAGAAGTCCTTGTATGGTTTGAAACAATCACCTCGGCAATGGTACAAACGGTTTGACCAATGTATGTTGGGGCATGGTTTCTCCCGAAGTGACTATGATAGTTGTGTATACTTGAAGAAGGTGAGTGATGGTTCTTTGTTGTATCTTTTTCTATATGTTGATGATATGCTTGTGGCGGCAAAAGACATGTTTGAGGTCAAGAAGGTGAAAGAAATGTTGAAGGGGGAATTTGAAATGAAGGATTTGCGGCCGGCAAAGAAGATTCTCGGCATGGAGATCATAAGAAATCGTGAGAGACAGAGTTTGTACTTATCCCAAGAAAAGTACATTGAAAAGGTCTTGGAGAGATTTCATATGATTGATGCTAATCCCGTTTCCGTTCCTTTAACATCTCATTTCAGATTGTCATCCTTGGATTCTCCAAATTCCAAGGAAGACAAGGAGTTCATGTCATCCATTCCTTATGCCAATGCGGTTGGGAGCATTATGTATGCAATGGTTTGTACTCGACCGGACATTGTTCAAGCCGTAAGCGTGGTGAGTAGGTACATGGCAAATCCCGGAAAGGCACATTGGCAAGCCGTCAAGTGGATCCTTCAGTATTTACGGGGTACTTCTAGCACTTGTATTGAGTATGGGCGGAATGGAGATGGCTTGATTGGTTATGTGGATTCCGATTATGTTGGTGACCTTGATGATCGGAAGTCCACCTCGGGGTATGTGTTTTGCCTTGGTGGTTCGGCTATTAGTTGGAGGTCGGCATTGCAAGAAGTGACCACCTTATCAACAACGGAAGCCGAATACATGGCTTTGACGGAGGGGTTTAAAGAAGCCCAATGGCTTGGTGGCTTTTTTGGAGAGTTGAGGTCGGAGAGATGTGTTCCTATGATTCATAGTGATAGCCAAAGCGCTATTCACTTGGCCAGAAATCAAAATTCTTTTCATAGGAGGACAAAACACATCGATGTAAAGTATCACTATATTCGAGATACTATTGCTAGTGGCAAGGTAGCATTAGGGAAGGTGCATACTTTGGAGAATCCGGCGGATATGTTAACTAAGCCTTTGCCGGTTGCAAAGTTTGAGCATTTCTCAGACTTGGTTGGTTGTTATTAGCTATGTTGTTTTTGACACCCTTGTAAGGGTGGTTACACCTTTTGTAGGTGGTTTCATCTTTGTTGAAGATGTTGGTTACATCCGTTGTTTTTCGGATGGTTGTTGTGGTTACTTGACATGATTGATTATCTTGTCAAGGTGGAGAATTGTTGGAATGTGACTCGAGAATCAATCGAGGCTTGGCATATAAGCTAAGGGGATGAATTACTTGTGTTAAGCAAGGAAGCATTGGATGGGTCAACTTCAACTGGGCATATCTCTCAAACTACTTGGAGTTTTGAGGTGATTCAAGTTGGAGGTGAAAGCTTGTTTCAAGAGCTTTTCAATGATAGGTCATAAGCTTAATTCCGATAAGAAACGAGGAAGTTATAGCTGTTTTACTACGAGTTGTCTGTGCTGATGCGAACAGGGGATGCACGTCCGTGCCAAATATGGCACGTCCGTGCTGCTGCAGTTCCAGACGAGCAGTAGCTACTGGAATGAGTTATCTGGGCTTGCACGTCCGTGCCATATTTGGCACGTCCGTGCCTACGTGATACCCTGTCCAAATCCGTCGAGGGTATAAATACCCATTAAGGGTTATTTTGTTCATTATCCCCAAATTGAGTGAAACACAATTAGAGTTAGGGTTCTTGTTCTTGAAACCCTTGTGATTTAGAGTGGAAATTAGTGAGAGATTAATCTTGTAAACACTAATTATAATCAATACAATCATTCTCCTTATTATTGGGTGGGTTTTATAGTCTTCAAGTAATTGCTTGAAGGATTTTCCCACCTTCCAATTTCTTGTCTCTTTTACTATCAAATTTCTTAATTGTTCTTGCTAATTACTTCAATTATCAACCATTTGCTCTAACAGATCTTTCTTCTTCTTCGGTTTTTTTTTTTGACACATATGAAGTGTTGATTTTTCCTCAAACAATTACTTTCAATACCCAATATATAATTCTACTTTTTTTCGTATAACTGTTAACTCTCATATTATTGTTTCAATTTTTGAATGTTTCAAGCCTATAATTTTTTAAATGTGGAGAAAACATGTGATTTTTCACGGGTTTGACAACATTTGGATTCAAGGAGAGATAAGAAAAAAAATATTTGATAATAATAGAAAACCTAATGCTTTCAGATTTTTGTTTTGGAATTTACAATGCTATAAATCATTTATGATCAAACGCTTCCACCTCTTAAGGTGTTGTTCATTGCTCCACTTAAAGGTTATGTTGTTGAATACAACCACGAATTTTGTGTTATTCTATCTAATTTTGTCAATAAAAATAGGAGTATTAGCTAGGGTAGGGTTTTTTTTTTCAATATTTTCAAATAGTATGCTTATATCTACCGATCTACTTATATCCGATTAAAATTAGATTACAATTTAATAACATGTTTAAACCAAAATTTTAAACATTTTTGAAAAAATTGCCAAGAACAATTTCATTTTTAACCACCTTTAACAATCATCTTTGATTATTCTTAAATAATTCCAACTTATATAAAAATCTCCTTAAACTAAAAATTGTGATTATTATAAAATAATTAAAAGTTGTTAAATTGAGATTATTTTGAGATGATGATTAAAAGTTGAAAGTACTTGTGTCAAAATTTTCAAATCTTTACCCAATCTCTATGTCCCTTCTTCTGTCGCTTATTTATGACAAGCATAACCACATTAATTCCCTCTCTATCAACCAGTACAACTTATTAAACCATGAACTCAAAAATGCAAAAAACAAACAAGTATTTGTTACTATCTTCTCTTTCGTCAAATAGTTTATTGCTCCTTTTGGAAAAAATTCTCAAATAGTTTATTAGTATTCTAATTAATAACTAATTGCATATTTTAATTTGCCTAAAAAAATTGCATATTTTAACTTTTTATGACTAAAGTAAATGAGCCATTAGGCGAGACAACAGAGAGGCAGGACATGGCAAGGTTGAGATCATATTTACCCTGCCATGGACGCGAAGATTGTCTACAACCGGATGAATCTGTTTTAGGTTTTTGAATCATTAGAGAAAAACTAAAATTTCTATAAATGAACAAGTATGTTGTTAAACTCAAGAATATTGTGGAGAAAAAGGCTTAACCTTTGCATTCATTATAATCACATATATATACACAATACAATAGGAAACATAACTTGCCTAAAATTCCTAACAAGATAAATTTAACATAAATACAATATTAACAAATATAATCAGCCAAACTCTAATATATGTTGTTAAGGAGATTCAAGGGGAAGGTGATAGACGGAGATAGATAAATCTAAGATCGAACATCCAATATCTGAGATAAATAGTCACAATAAGTACACAATCAATCCTAATCTAAAATCCTTCTCAACAAAATGATAAAGAGACATGAGACACATCTCACATAATGTCTACTCTGATAAAGAAATGTAAAAGAGTGACGATAACTCGATAAGTACTAGTCATACATCACAAGGATTCAGAACCCCTTTCAACATCACTTGTTTATCCGTACAACATTTTATACTCTCAAATCAATTGTCGCGTTTTCCTTGCCCCAAATTAATTGCAACATTATTGTTTCTCCGTACTCGAAGTAAACCAATAATCCTACACTTGATCTTAGCCAAAAGGTCGATTCGCCACAACTAACATGAGATGAAAGGAGTCCATTTTCTAGTACGAAAGTGGTTTTACATTTGGCAGGACCCTCTAAAAAACAATAAGACAGGACACTGTTTTGTAGCTTGAATGTCAAACATCCTGGAAGATATGTTCCAAAAACTCGAATGGAAGCAGAATAAAAAAAAATAAAAAAATAAAAAAATTACTATGGAGTACTTTCTTATTTTTGGTTGCAGTAGTAAAAGAGGGCAACGTACTCACATAATCAGAGTTGAAAATCTCATGAAAATGAGCATTAATCATTCATCTTCAAGTTCTTTACATATGGCAACATACATGTCAGAAATCTTCATCTGCCATTTCTACAGACCTAACACTTCCCCAACACCGCCTAATTCCACCCTAGCGCCTTTTTACCCCAACTGCAGCTTAATTTATACAACCAACAAAATCTTAGCATCCGCAAATCTAATCCATCATACATAACTGAGAAGAAAAAAAATTGATAAAGAAAAAAAAAGGGGGGAAATAAAAAAAAATAAAAGGCCAAATGAAGATTAATATCGAAGCCACCATGAACTGGCCGAGAAATTTACTCCAAAGGCATCAGAACAAGCATATATATAAATTTGCTAACCTTAGGCTATCTACTTTTAAAACACTTTCTAACAACCAGGGTGGGTTTTTTCCTCCCTGTATGCCCAAAAAACACAGATGGGGGCAACTTTAGCTTTTACCACTTCACAGGAGATTTACAGTGACTAATTTTTTTTTTTCCAAGAATAACATAATTGCCTTAGATTGAAGAGATAAAACAGCCTCTGTTCTGTAAATAAGGAATTCTTACTGTCCATGTCCTCCGCCCTCATCGGTGTGTGGTTCTAATTTGGGTGCACAGTGCCATAACGCCATATGTGAGGAAACAGAACTTTTAAGTGAAATTTAGGGATTGGTGGAGACAATAGACCCAATTCGGGAGGAAAATCAATAAATTAATGATGATCAAAGTGAAAGACATTGTACCCTCTCAGGGACATTCCTAGGCATGGGATGAGCAGAAACATATCTCTGTGGACACGGTTTCTGAACCGTCGCACTTGCATCAGAGGACAATGAGGTCTCAGCCCCGTCAACTTGACCTCGGCCATGGAACCTAGCAAAACGATTAATGACTGAAAATCTCTCTAGATCCTGACAATCCAGTCTGAAGTCCAGAATTGATGCACGCTTGTCCAATCTGTGAGCAATTGCAAACAACGCCAATCATGAGCAATAAGGCATGAAACAATACAACTATAGGCCTACTATATGTGGGCTGTGAGGATGTCAAGATACATGCAGCACTTCACTGGAATTGGCGCAAACCCCTTAGCCCTCACCCCTCATATCATCATTAAAATCATGAAAAGAGAAAAGCAATGGCAGTTAAAAGCCCACAAAGAACCCATGATCCAGCTTTAAAACAACTAAAACTAGCCCGATAAATTGGTTCCCGAGTATAATTGATACACATATTTTACCAACCCAATAATTTATGAGCAAAAAAAATCTGTTCAGATTCAACCAATGTGATCAAGTGAATTTATTTAGTACTTCCCCTGTTTTTTATACTTGCAACACACCTTGGCATGCTATTTAAGGAAGCGATTAGACTAACAAACAAATTAAGCTACAAAATTTAAACCATAGCAACTGAACTATCACTTGCTTCTTATTGATAGTATAATTTTATCAATTAATTTGTCCGTTTACCTAACTTAATATCTTCATTAAAGTGCATGTCAAAGTAAAGCGTTGCAAGTAAATAAAAACCGAGGAATTATATGAGATATTGCAGAAAGCAAATTACGAAGTATATGATTTATACTAAACAAACCTAGAAAATTTCACATTATAAATAAAAGGTCGAGTTCATTAATTCCTTTTTCCCCTTCTATTTGTTTCCTTTCCCTTCCATTTCCAATCTTCGTACCAAATACCCCCTTAGTTAACCATTTAGCTAACTCAAAACCAATTACTTTAAGCTGCAATCATGCACTATGTAGCCCAAATTCAAATAACCCAATCTACACTTAGACTTAAACCTAAAGCAGCTGCTTTAATATCTAACCAACCTGTTTGACAAGTCTATATAGAAAATGCTAATAACATATATGTCCATGGAATAAAATTACAGCATTTCTATTTAACAAAAACCAACACGGATCTAAGCAAAACTACTTCCTCCATATGTAGTACACAATTCTATGACACATAAAGAAGACATTTCATCTTTTATTTCGGTAATTCTATGCATCGTCACTTCAAAAGGAAAACTATAATAATAGTAAAAATAATGTGGACACTTGTTTAAAAACTGCAGACAAAAACAAGCTGGATAACATAGAAAAGCTGATGGAAGACCAAGCAAGCTCCAGAATAATCAACAGATCAAAAAGGCCATGGGCCCATGGCAGACAGATTACAAACAAAGTATTAGGTACAACCCCAAAAAGAGTTCATCAGCGTAACAAATTGACTTTCAGAACAGAATCACAATTTTGTTGGGAAAAAAGGAACTAATTGAGCCAAATGACCATTCTATTAAGAAGCTTCTCTGATTCTATGTCACGAAGAGTAGCCGAGGCCAGCTTATTTGCCATAAGGACCTTTTGATATAGTAATCAGATTCTTCACCGAGGCCCAAAAAAAAAAAAAAAGAGAGAGAGAGAGAGAAAGAGAGAAGCAGGCTATTCAAAAGATCCAAAAAATATGCACCATAACCTCAGAAGTGAAAACGAACAGAAAAGCCAAAAATGTTACCTTGATAAATCATTTTCCAGCTCCTTTGCCCTAGTAGCAAAATCTTCTATAACTTTTGTAAAGTACTGATCTCGAATTCTCTCTTTGGGCTTCACCTTCCCAGATCGGCTATAAGCACACCACGATAACAAAAGTCAAATATTAGTAGAATAACATTTTTTTTTAATCTAAAACCAGCTTAAGAGCCTGGTAAAATAGTAAGAACAAAAAAATGGGGGGAAAAAAACTGAATTCATGAGCAGGGCTTACGGATTTTCAATTTCAACTGACGAATTACTTTCCACACCACAAGTTAGGCTGCATGTGTCACCTACTACAGATCTTGCAAGAGAATACACAATGACTTCATAATTAGAACTTGCATCAAGTGAGAGAACTGCTGCTGAAGGGGGTCTAAACACTTGTTGCATAAGCTGTGTGGTTAACACTAGCCTTCTTTTTGGCCTAATCATCAGCAGTAAATCTTCACAGTTATCAGTTTCATCGTCAATCTGCACAAGAACAAGGATGTCACTTTCCTTCATGATGACAAGGAATACAAGAATCCGGTGGAGCTTATCACTGTAACATGCATACCTTTTCAATTAAACGGTTTGATGATTGAGCCCAATCTACTTCTGCCGAACTGAATATAAAAAGATTCAGCAAATGTCAGAGTACATTACATATATATATATATATATAGGGGAAGGCTCTCGTGAAAACCCATCCTGTATGTGAGAACACTCTTTATGTTCTAAAGTTTTAAACATCTGTTCTACATATTCAATCAGGTGTTCTAAATTTTCACTCACAGATTCTAAATCGTAAATGAGTTAAATTAGATGTTCAAAATCATTACTCTCATGTTCTAAATCTTATACTAGTTGTTCTAAAATTTAACTTTTATGTTCTAAATTTTTACTCACATGTTCCAACCTTAACCTCTCATGTTATACATTTTACTAATATGTTCAATCAATCAATCAAAGCCTTAATCCCATAAGTGTGGTCGGCTATATGAACCAAAAGTGATAATTCCGTATAGTCCTCCACAAAAATATTACTACGTACTAATATGTTTTAAATCTTAAATTAGATGTTCTAAATTTTGTTTTACTCACATGTTTTAATTCTTAATTTAGATGCACTAAACTTTTACTTATAAATAATATATTAAATTTTGAAACTTTTGTTCTTAATTTAAAATCATATGTTTACATTTTTTACTTGCATGTTTTAAATTTTACATCAGTTCTCATACAAGTATGGTGTTCTCGCGTAAGGACCTATTCTCACCAAATCCCTCCCACACACACACACTTCAGAGAATAATTTTTTTTTTTAATTATTTTTTTTTTTTAAAAAAGGAAGGGCTAAAGAACTTTCCATAGCCAAAGAAGCAAAGAGCCCAATAAACCAGATCCCGAGGTAAAAAAAATTGTTAAGATCTTGCATCTAGGCAAAGTGAAACTTTTTTACGCAGAAACCTAAACTAGAAAGAAAGACATGTTCCTAATCCTAATATGCAAATGCACTCACCTCAAATTCTGAAGCCTCTTTAGATTCTGTCCTATTTCTTTGTTCCATGAAAGCAGATCAGATGTCACAGTCTTCCGCTTCTTGGTCCTCACAGACACCAAATTTGGAGTAGAGACACGGGGAACCAATGCATTAAGAGAAGAGACATGCTCATTAGGAGTATAAGCATTTGCAGTTTGGCAAGTATTAGCAATCTGATCACTTACAGTGACAGCATTATCCAACTGGACTGAATTATGTACAACCAAATTGTTTGGAGACTTCCCACTGATGAACTGCTGTTCCACATTCTTCATGATTGGAACTCTAGGGACATTATGCACTGGTAACAAATGCCCATTTTTAAAGGTTCCATACTGCTCAAACCAGGATGGGGCCATCTGTGGACTTATTCCAGTATGCTCACTTCTACAAGCAACATTTCCAGTTGCAAATTTTTGAGGATCACTACGACCAAACGAGAGCATATCCTGGGAAGCAACAGTTCCATGTGGCAACTGAAAAGAAGTATTCCTATTGCCTGGCTGAGGCGAAAAGTTATACATCTTGGCATCTACGCCAGAAACTGAGGTCTGGCTCATTGACGGGTCACTAACCATAATATTCATATTACCAGTGCCAGGCTCTCCTACCTGTCGGCCCTGTCTTATCTGTTGAGGATCAAGACCACTATCCTGTCCCCTCAATCTCTTTGATTCCCGATGGCTAGGGTCTGTACTCATGCTCTTCATAGCTTGCATTTGATGCAGCAAGGAATAGCTGTTCTGTGCAATATTATTTGGTTTAACTAAATGATTAAATGCTTCAAGATCTTTTTGGCTGACAGCAGAATTTGATGGAGAGGCATCCGATTGATGCCTTGCAGAAGGTTCTTCTTCCTGAGATTGGCCAACTGCCTTCGTAACAGGTCGTCTTTCTGCTGCTTGGAGCTCCTCCCCACCTACAGTATTTTGAGAATTTAATGCATCAACTCTTATCGGACCTTCTTGCTCATCCTTCTGTTGGGGAAAAGCGGTTTCCAAAGCACCAGATGATTGAAAAGACTTGGTTAACTCAGGAGCATTACAAGCTTGAGCCCCCAATAACTGCTGCTGAGAATTCCATTGGTTAGATCCTGGCGGTAAAAGATTATCCTTCCTAGACATCCCAGCCATAGCAGCACGAAAGCCGGCTGGCATTTGATGCACCAATGCTCTCATGCCAGATTGATTCATCTCTCTCCCAGACACCAAACTGTTGTGTGAATTACTAACGGCATGATTGGTCATAACGTGAAGTTGAGAATCGTTTAACTGTGTATCATGGTAAGCATGCCTATTAAAAGACATGGTAGGAGATTGATCACTTAAAATTTTTCCGCCAGGAGCAGCCAAGTGCTGACTCTGAAGTGGATTTTTTGTATGAGGACCAGTTGACAAAGGAGCAGAAGGATTCCCTACCAAGTTAGGCACCGAAACAGCATCTGAATTTCCAAAACTAGCAATTTCATTCCCAGATTCCATTTGAGTATGCTGTTGTGAAGATGGTAAGCATTGAGCAGAAGAAGCAGAAGGCAGCCATGCATGTGTTTTATCTCCTTTTTCAGAAGCTACATGACCTGAACTGGGAGAATCAACCGTTCTTGAAGAGGTTTGAGCAGCAGCATTAATATTTGAAGGTGTAATTCCTTGAGATGGAGGAGCTAATTGCAAACTAAAACCATGAGATGTGGAGAACTGACTTTGACTAGGCCCAGCAGGTCCACCAGAAGGTCCACCAGCGGATGCATCAGAAAACTTATTATAATCAGTAGAACTGAGATGGGAGGTAACATTTTGCTCCTTGGATTGATCAACCTTATGAAGAAGCTCAAGCATGTTCTGACTGCAACAAGGCATCAAGATTATAAAAATAGAATGCAAATAAGAAAGTGTAACAAAAACCAGTGCGTAAATGACTTAGGGATTAAATAAATCCGGCATGCTTACTAACATTCACCACAAGGTCCACAGCAAAATAAATCATAGGCAATTGCCTTCCAGTAACTAAGTAGGAAATAATACATGAAAAAAATACTAGAAGTTCCATGACTGGCAGAACAAAAAAAACAGTCCATAACCAGTGCCATTAGGCCCATTACTGTCTTTCACTGCAATCACCGATGTAGATATCCCTTCGCTTGTAGAGCAATATGAATAAAGCAAATTAAGTGAAACAGAACAAATTTCTAATAACTGAGCAATATCATAATGTAAATGAAGTATACAAGAATTACGGCAACAATTATTGTGTCAGCAAGAATTAATAGAAGCAACCCAAAGTAACTTGAAAAACAAACAAAACTAATAAAAACTAGAAAAAAACAAATTCTCAGAAACTTGCTCAGGTAGACAAGCACAATAGAATGTCGGAAAATATACCAGAAATCAAAATATACATACACTTCACAATAATTTTAAGATCCAGGGAGGTGTGCTCACTTTCCAAATCAGTGTAAAAGAAATCAGGAAGAAGCAGGAATTCAAAGGCCCTGACTCCCTGAGAATTTCTTCTCAGGATATGAGGAAGAAAAATCCAAAAAAAGCATTACCTTGGTACCATATGTTGGTTTGGTGAAGAAATTTCACCAGATCTGACAAAGGGTGCAGACATATTAGGTAAGTAGCCAGGGTGAAGAGCACCAGACGAAACTCCACGCGATACGTTAACAGTTCCATGAAAATTAGATACCCTACCCTGCAGTGGAAGAAAATTAACTGGCTTGTACACTATACACATATTTATACGGATGGAGGAATTTACGTGCGCATGCATTAAAAGGGATGGGTTAAATAATTCTGCTGAACAAGAAACCAATAACTAACCTCCATGTCTGTAAATTTAGTGCTCAATGGACCATGAAACCTTGGGTTTGCTTCTTGACCTTTGGTTCCTGATGAAAGATGCTGCTGAGACATGGGCTGTGAATGTAAAATTTGTTTTGCTGCAAAAGAAGAATCTGAATCCATATCCACATCACCCATGGGATGATACTGAAATTTCCTAGATACAGGCATTCTTTTGCCAGCCTGACCAGACGACTTTTCTTTGCCTCCAGGCAAACTACGTCGTTCAGAAGCATCTGACCACATATTCTCTCTCGAACCACCAACTGGCGCATTATGGAGAAAATTGCTGCGGTGGCTATCATTGGAAGTCTCTCTTTTATCACTATTTTCTGTCTCGTGCATTTCAGCAGCTCCGTCATCAGCACTATTATCTGAAGATTCCACTATAGGGGGTCCCTGGTTCAAATTATGCTGGTCCCTACTTGAAACCTCCAATCCAGACTTTCCAGTAGGATTGACTGATTTCCATAAATCAAGATGATGGTTATTAGGAAGCCTTTGGTTGGATTCAAGGTTGACCTTCATAGTGTTCTGACCAGGAGGAACAGCATCATCTTTAGAACTGACAAGTGAATTCCCCGTTTTATCAATAGAATATGAGACAAACTCAGGCCTCATAGCAGCACCCTGACCTGTATCCATGCATACTTGCATGTTACGATGTTCACCAAGCAAGTTACCCTGGTTTGTAGCAGTTATACCACCATTTATAGGTACAGATCCAATGACATTCGAATGACTTTGTCTACTGGAATGTTGGCCATTGTTGTCATGCAAAAACGTATTTTGCTGATGGCTCCAGAAGCCAGTATCTGACCTGGAGCAGTCTCTTGAAGAATTAGAATTTTCAACCACCTGTTTCTCCTCAGCATGTGGCTTCTGCTGGTTGCTGTCCAACCACCTCCTTCCTTCCTGTGCAATTTGACTTTCTGTCTGTAAATAATCTCTTTTCTGATTTAGAAATGGCTGCTGTTGCCCAGAATTGTTAACATAATTACGACTTGTGTTTAAATTATGGGTGCTCACATCACTGCTGCTAAGTCGAGGACCCGGTTGTGATTTCTCATCACCGCGAAAAACTGTAGGGTGTTGGTTGCCAGACTGTGACCTGGGATTTTGAGGGCCTAGGCCACTCCACTCTTCCTGCGTCCCAACGTCAGTACTGGAGGTTTCTGCCACGGCAGACTGCATAAGAGCACTCCAGGTCCCACTTTGCATTGAAGGAAGACCGCCGAGGAGATCTGGGGCATCTCCACTACCTGTAACTGATGGCCCACCAAATGCTTCCCAGATATTAACATCACTCCCAAACAAAATCTTTTCTTCGGTCGGATCTAATGCAACAGCAGAATGTGTAGACGCACCCTGTGAAGAAGAAGCATGAGTTACAGATTTTTCAATCAACAACTCTGAACCACCAGGAAAACCTTGTCCACCACCTTCTGACATGGGCACATTCCTCTGCTGTACCTGAGTAGAGCCTCCCATATTAGCCACATTCCCTAATCGTTGACTAGAGGCCTGCTCAAAAGAGCTTTTTCCTTCAGAACCATATCTGAATACTGAAGGTCCATCCTTCACACCCACCTGCTCTGCAAGTGAACCAAATTGATTGCCAGAAAAAGAACTATTTGGAGCTGGAACCTGAGGTAGTCCAGGTTTATCTATGTTGCTGTGAGAGAATGCATTACCACTTCGCGAACCAGAAACCGGAACCCCATAGAAAGACTGTGAATTATGTTGAGGAATTAAGCCCATTAATTGCATAGCTTGGCCTTGCTCTGGGGTAATCATAAATCCATTAGAATATCCTTGCACAGACGAAGACAATCCACGCTGCTGCCAATTTGCGTTGCCAGCCATGACTTGAGATGACCATGGATAATTAGACGTATCGCGCATGGCATTACCATTAATAGCTGGTTGATGTTGTCCTGTGGTCTGATTTGGGAAGGAGGAAATATGGCCCGATCCACTTCTTTGTAGTGCTTCTAGTTGTTGAAGCTGTTGCTGCCTCTGCATTTCTTGCATTTGTTTTATCATAATTTGCTGCTGCAACTGAGCATCATTATGTCCAGGCTGTTGCCGAGACAAGGACTGTAGCATTCCTGGTTGCTGACCGTTCATTTGCTGTTGACCACCTAGAAAATTAAAATTCATTGGTGATTCTGAGCCTCCAAAGCCAGCTGAATTTGAATGATGTGAACCACTCCTCTGCTGTGAATCGGGAACAGACGGACTCCTTGACGTTAAATTATGTCGATCAGGTTCTGTATCCGCTCCCATAAAGTTTGCCTCATTCTGCCTAGTATGGCCAACTTGAGAAGCATGCATAAATCCATTCAAATTAAGCTGCTGAAGCTGAGATGGAGTTTTGACAAAGTCAGGTCTCAAACTTGACCGCGTAAAGTTCAACCCATGTGAACTCAGTGAGAACTGATTCCCTTGCCCCCTCTCAATGTCTACACAATATGAAAACAAAAAGTTTATGAACACCTACGAAAGGAGAAAGGTGTCCTTACAAAGAAGAGAACTAAAAGACCACACGAAATCAAGCCTCCAAGAAAGGTAGGAAAAGAGTAGCAAAAATATAAGTCACCTGATTGTTGTGCACTGTAATTCTCAGAACCAGAATTCACGGGCCCGCCAGTCTGTCTCTCATTAGCACCCCAAACATTATTGTTATTATTATTATACACTGGCCAGTTAGCCGCAACAAGTTGTGTATGATGTTGGTCCTGTGACAAGTTACCTTGATCAAAGAAATTGTGGACCCTATCACCAACTTCGTTTCCAGGCATAGATTATTCTAACGGCAAATCTTCAGAAGCTTACATGCATATCAAAACAAGGCTACCTATTACAGAAACAAAAACTGCTCAATATAGAGATTACAACAATTTCAAAAGTAACTGAATGTTCCATGTCAGTAATACACAAAATCACATGTGCAATACACACATCTTTCATGGTACATTGAGGTATATATCTATGCAATTGTCATATCATCAATAACGCTTGAAATCTCATTTCAAATCCATCACTGGAGTACATGAACAGAACCATGATGCAATAATATGAAATACAGAAAAGGCCACCAAGAGTATGATGTGTACTTGCACAAGTACTTAACTCACACATACACAAACACCTGGGGAGAGAGTGACTAGTAAGATAAAGGCCTCGCCACCTCAAGAAGCAACTTCAATACAGAAATATTCAAGTTTATGTATGTACATTCCAATCTTCCTTGAAAGTTATTAAACAATAGGAGTTCCATATTTGAAATAATAGGGTAGAAAGTTTCTTAGATAAAACAATACACAAGATGCCTACTCCTCAAGCAGAACAATACTTTAGAAAGTTGGCATATTCTCCAGAAATTTTACCCCATCCAAAAAATCCTTCACACACATTCATAAAGCCAATTAAAGCCGAAAAATACAATTTCCAGATTTCCATCATTGTATCTAGCTCGTGAGACAACCTTATCACTTTTGCTCTTCAAGTCGTTATTTATCATATACCCAGCTAAAATGAACCAAAGACTGTAATGCTAACTGCACTACCTCAAAGAGAATTATCACCGAGAGGATAGAAATAACTATGACAAACCAAAAAAAAAGTCCAAGTGAATAAGCAAACCCAAGACCTGAATCCTTTAAAAGTTATTAGATTAAAATCTTCCAAAGGGTAGCAGGGCACTAAAAATATAACCCTGTATACTAGAAGATTTGCTCCATGCAAAAACAAATTCTAACACCTATTCAGGAAAGGAAAGATACCTATTCTTCCAGGATTACATAATACTCCAGCAAATAGTTCCCATACATCAACTCCCTAAGATCATTTACAGGTCCTTTGTTTTGTGGATATCAATAAAGGGAAAGGTGGTCTAAAACCCTGTTTCCCTTTATCGCTGTTAGGTGGGTAATTTTATTGAATTTCCCTATTAAATTCTTGGAGTTCCCATTTCCCCTCTGTTTTGTTTCCCTCCCCAACTTGGAACTTGCCCGTTACCTCTTTACCCTCTACCCATCCTCTCTACTTCTCATCTTCCATTCTCACTCCATAGTCCAAACCCATTCACCCCTGAAACTCTGGTGAAGACCCGGCAGAGCTCCACGATATCTCTCATCAGCCCCAATAATTTTTCATCTTTCCCCCTCTATAATTGACTTTCGCTCTCTTATTTGTTCCTTCATTTCTCATTCTTCTTCAACTAAAATCGTGGAATAACACTACTTCGTTGTTTTCCAAAGGTGCAACTTCAACAACAACTAATCTCCAACAATTAAAGCTATCTCTTTCATTAATTCCCCTCTGAATTTGTCTGATTTTTTTTATACGAGTGTTTAACTTTCATGTGTTGCTAATGTAAGGGTCAAAGCTAGTATTTCTATGAAGTTTTTATCATTTTTATTTTGATTTTAGATGAGAGTTGTGAGAAATTTGATTCCTAATTTTGAAAGGTATTGGTGCGTGACAATATCATTGTTTGAATTAGGTTGGAATTATAAAATAAAAATAAATAAAAAAAAGGAAAAAGACTTTATCTGGGATTAATTTCACTACGTTAAACAAAAAAACAGAAAGCAGAATCAAGGGGGACATCTCTATATTCCTTTTATGGCATGAACCAATCAGATTAGGAAAATTTTGGGTTATTCCTTTCTTTTCTCCTAGACTCCCTTGCTCAATTCCTTTCCCTTTCTTATCTGCGAAAAAAACAACCCGATGAATATGGAAACGCCGTACTCTCTCAATTCAGAAATAAATTCCCCATTATTCCTCAAACAATGCTTTTAAGGTTCTGTATCTACCAAAACTCTTCAATCCGACGAACCATTAATCATCGACTGCAAGATAATAGACAAACAAAATGTGTTTGAAAACTATTTATAGAGGGGACCCAATTCAAGAATCCTTTGCCAGAACTTGTCTACCAAAGATGCAAGTTCTAAAATTTAATCCCAAGGATTCCAACCATATTCTCCCCCTTTACATAAACATTTATTTTCTTCCCAATTGCAAAAAAACGCTTAAACATTCTAACAATGCAGGAAAGGTAACACAAAGAAGGTCATCAACTGCCATTTCAACATTTTAATAAAGACTACGGATATTTCGCAAGTTATTTGTCCCCAAAAGCAAAAGTAGCTCAATGGCAATGTGACTACAACAAATAAAAAAACTTGATAACAATTACGTATATATGCATTATTATATAAATAACCACCTTTTCAACAATATTTTCAGTTTTTCATCTTATACTGTAAATCAGAAGCTTAACTTCTTTTCAACAACTAAAAAATTCATCAGGTGTTGTGTCGAGTCCTACAAGTCACATTATAATTAATCGGTTATAATTATATAACTACCCTAAAACTACAGAAACGTGGGTTAATTCTCCCACTTTGACGAAGCATAAGACTGATTCCATTAAGAGGCAGCTAAAACTAAAAATTCTAGATTTTAGAGGTAGTAATTGGAATAATTATTTTAAAAGGCATCATTTAGATATAGAGTTAAATTATTGTTATAAAAAAGCTACCAATATCAGCATTTAGTGTTATTGTCTAATTTTACCAAAATTACCTATCACAAATCGAGGAATAACAAGTATTTTACTTATAAGCTTTCAACAAGTTAGCACCTTCTCAAACGGATTCAAATTACTTAAAAAACACTGATCTTTGTTTAGTAAAATAAGCATCAATTAAAATTCACGGGCTAGTACAAAATCCAACAGTATAATGTCGAAAACATTCCCATCTTCCACTCATATGCTGGACTTAAATCACTGAAAAGGTAAGCAATTAGATTAGCATGCTCGACTTAAATACTAACCAGTTTAATACCATCTTTAGAAAAAACCATGCAAAAATTACAAGCCAATAAACGGGAAAAAAAAAATAGATGAAAAAACCCCAATCTATTCTAAGATTACTAAAACCCACTTCGACATACCACATTATAGAAAAGACAAGTAATTTAAGTAAGAAGATCTAGTTCGATGATAAATTAATTGATGCTACAAAACTTTAACACTGAGAATGAGTCACTTGCCCACGTGCAGCAAAGCAAACCCCAACTTATACTGCTTCAGTTACACTATCCAATAAAAATGTTTAGCCTACATAACCAATACATGCCACAAGATACTAGTAACATAGAAGTTCTTCCATTTAACTGAGATTAAAAGAGAGGGAATGCTCTAAGTAAGTGCCTTAGCGAACTGGTGAATGACACGTAAATCTAAACAATCCCCTAACATCGAAACAAACCCCAAGTAAAGCACAGTAATTATTCCCACAAATGCTCTCAGCTTCTACCCTCCCTTAATCATTTACACCGAAACTATAGAGATCAAATTGTACGTCTAGGCCTAGTGGTTAAGACTAAGGGGCAAGGGTTTGCGTACGATAGGTCACAGGTTCAAATCCCCATTTGTATTGTCCTTGTGGCTCATTCGGATCAAAAATAAATATTTGTAATTAACCAGTACCAAGCAGACTAAACCCTGACTTTGTGTCGCTTCCGGGTCCGTCCCGGAGCTAGGGCAGGAGGGGCCCCCGCCCTAGACTAAGGAAGAAAAGGTTCATTTTCATGGTTTCATCCTGACATTAAAGAGTTACAAAAACCAAACCCTGCAACACATTAGCAACCAAAATTGACTCAATTATCAAACTAGACTCGAAAAACTACGCTAAATTCTTCGAGTATCTATAACAAATAGTTCAATTATCCAACTTCGAAGAACCCTAAATTGAGTATATACTGACAATTAAATACACGATTAACACTAGATTGTCAAAATTAAAATTAGATGATTAAATAAAAACAAACATCTAACCTTAGAGACTGCTTCAATGGAGGAGAGAAAGCTCAGAAGCCGCTTCAATGGAGAATTTCGAGTACGCTTCAATGGAAGAGAGAGAGAGGAAGGAGTACAGCGAGAAAGCGCAAAGCGTGAAATAGATCTAAAGGGGAAAAAAGAAAATAAGATCAGGAATATAAATGAGACGCCTATAATATACTTTCAAAACAAAAAAAAATAATACGGCTCTAATATGAACTGAGAGGTGTTAAAAACCGACTCGATCTGGAAACTTACCTACATTGAGTTTGATTCGAATTAGTTTGGAATGAGATATTTCAAATGCGAATCCAATTATGTCTACGAACTTGGAGTTTAGATTCGAATTGATTTGGCATGAAAAATTTCAGATGCGAATCCAATCATATATTACGGATTTGGGGTTTAGATATTGTCTCATAATCTATCTGAAACTAGTTAGACGCTTAGATGGTTACATTTAATTTGGTTAACTTATAAATATGAACGGTTACCTATCCAAAACTTACTTGAATTAATTTATAGACCTAAAAAAGTCAAAACTACCAGATTTTACCAAATTGTAATTACTTGGGCTATTATTGATCAACCTGAAACTAATAAATTGAAACCAACTTTTATTTAATTCAACACAGCTTGACCTTACATGTTTTTAAAGCTGGTCTTGTTTTGTTTTCGACTTGCATTCAAACTCGTGTATTTGTATGTTAAAGACATTGTTATGTTGACTTTATTTTCACTTATTCCAGAAAAAAGAAGTCAGTCCATATATATTCAAATAAAATAAGTTCGGCTAATAAGAGATAACCTGATTTCTAATTACATCTAAAATAAGATAAGATAATCTATAACAAGTGAAAATCAAGTGTGATTCGTGAGTGTTATTTTCCTTTAATTAATCTAAATTCTTAACATGCCCCAACTAAGCAAAATTCTTATAATTTTTTTATTCAACATTACTTGTTAATTTTAAATATTGGTGAATACTTTTTGTTACTATCCTTGACTAATTTTGTGATTATGACCTTAATTAATAAAAAATAAAAAAAAAATTGATTGTTTGACATACATTAATTTAAAGTTAAAGCGTGAGTACTCCGTATTAATGTTACTTAAAGTACAAAAGGGGTGAAATTCTCAAATTACCATTGAACCTCTCAAATAGGCTAAATAAGTATTTAATCATTTGAAACTTTACGTGATTTTCAAATCTAACAAGTTTAAACCAGCCTTTTGGCCATTTTACATGCACTGAAGGAGGGGAGACACTTCACATCCACTATATAAGAGAGGTAATTAGGTTTTTAAGTAATGACAAACTTTCTCCTACTAGTCATAGTAATATTGATTTGTTTTCGTATGTTTGTTGTTGTTAAAACAAGGATAGTCACCGAGGCACACAAAAGTGAAAACTAAAGGATGTGCTTAGATCTTGTTCCGTTTTGTACTTAGCCAAGAAAAAAAAAAAGAATAAAACTCAAACTTTCAACCTTAAAGTTATTTGATCATTGTTAATAAAATAAGTTTTGTATTTTTAATTGATGTTCTCATTTTCAAACACCAGCAATTGACTTTTCCTAATACACCTTAACAACTATAAATCACGAAAATTATTAAATAAAAATTTCATTCATTTATGGAAAAATTGCTAGGAATGATCCAACCTTTAGCTGATCCGCCCAAAATAATTCCACCTTTTGATTATATTTTAATAATCCGATCTTTGATGTCAATCCACTTAAAATGGTCCTAGCAGACCATTTAACTTGTTATAGCAAGTCATATGATATGTGTTGGCATTTAATTGGTCTAAAAAATAAATGAAAATTAAAAGAAAAAAATAAAAAAAAAAACTATACTTGTACTTAATAATTAATTAAAAAAAAACAATTGTTTTACAAAAATAGATAAAAATAAAAATAAAAACCACCCTACCAGCCTAACCACCTTCTATGGTTGCCCACTCCCACCAACCCTCCCCGCTGCCTGCCGCCTGACACCGGAGCGCCGTACAAATTGTTGTCCCCACTCCTCGTTGAACCGCCTCCTAAACCACCAACCACCCACAAAAAACCCTTCTCTGCCCCGATCCTGACCTCCCTCCCTTGCCAGCCACGTTTCCGGCTCTTTCCCACGCCTCAATTTCGACTACCCTCTCTTTCCGATGATGGTGATGCAATATGAGGTAATTAGTGGGTGGATTAATATTTGGTTATCGATGGGAGGGACGAATAACAGGATATATAAAGTTGTGTCAGACCACCTAATCAAAAGTTTATCCAAAAACTATTAACTAAAATAGATAGGAAAATAGGGTTGAATTCATGGGGAAATAGTGTTCTTCTAAATCTAATTAATCAAATAAACTAAACTATTTAAAGAACGAGAGTGGTTGTTATGTCGTTAAACAAAAAATATCCCTATCTATCTATATTCATCATTAAGAAATTTTCTCGAAGTATTTTACCTCAAATTTCAAGTGTCACCCCACTAAATCTTGTCATCTTTTAGATCCCACATTAGTTTTATGATATATGATAAACCTTAAAACAATGATTGGCTCCTCATCAAATTGTAAAATCAAAGGTTAATCACTTTGATCTCGAGGTGTTTTTTCACCAAACGTTCTCCTCTAAGATACCCACATCATTTTTATTTTTTTCATTCATTTAAAATCCTTTAATCAACAATTGTTCTTTAGTTCAATTTTGTGAAAAATTAAGGGGTTTCTTACCGCTAATTTTATGCCATTCTTCATCAAATCCTATCCTTTTTATTAATGAGTACGATTAGACGGTCTAGATTTTTATAGGATTGGAGCACACAAATTGTAATTTGCTTGAATGTGTTGGCATGATGACTTGACAAAAACTCATTTCCTTCCTAATTTCTAGTTTGTCAATTTTGAAATGCACATGCTTAATATATGCATTGTAGTTTGAATGATAACTTTTTATATATGTGGGAGTCAATTTATTTTCTTATCACCCATGAAGTCGAGTATGACTGAGAATTTATACGAGTAATAGTAATTTTTCAACAAATCTCCTTCTGGCCTAGTTTTGTTTTTTGTTTTTTTATTTTGAAATATAATGGGCAATTTGTGTGAAAATTTTAAGGTACAGGCGGTTGTACCATACTTGACACAGACAAAAAACACATAATGAACATGTAGCTGTTTTGTAAAGAACATCCAGTTTTATTTTATTTATTTATTTTTTATATCTAAAGTACATCTGTAATATTAATAAAGAAGATAATAATATTATGTATTGAACATTATTTATATATACCCACCATAAGTTGAAAAGACAAAATTTAAAGAACATTTCGCAATAAGCAATGAACATTATGTCACAAATTAAAGTACATTACAAAGACAATCAAAGAATATGGACATATGTTCTTTCACTCTTTATTGGTGTAAATATGCTCTTTCACTCTAGGTATATGTTCATTACATTTTAATAGTATTTTTTTTTTCGCTATAGGTATATGTTCATTACATTTTAATAGGTTTTTTTTTTTTTTCACTCTAGGTATATGTTCATTATATTTTAATAGTATGTTATTTTCATTATAACTATATGTCCGTTGCTATTCTATATCATGTTCTTTCCTACAAAACGGTTGTATGATACAGATTACTAGCGCCTGCAGGGACCAGCGATTGCAATTTGTGTACTAAACAAAGTCTTTTGATTGCTTGCGCTTTGTAGTACATGGGTTATACTTACTTAGGGCTTGTTTCTGATTTACTGAATAGAGTTGAACTAAACTGAACTATTTATGAGAGAAGGAAATTAGGAACTAAAGTGAACTTAACTGAATTGAGTGGAGATGAACTGAACTAAAATTAAGTTGAAGAGAACAAACCCTTAGTTGTGTTTGTTAGTTCTTAGTTGATTATTATTATTATTACTACTACTACTTGTGTTTGTTTTTGTGTAGTTTAATTAAATGATCGATTCCCATTGTGCAACCATTACTCTTGGAAATAAGTGTAAACTACAGTTTGAACACTAATCATACCACAAGTAATTCAGATTTTTACTAAACAAAAAAAACTAATCGTGCCATCAGTATTTCAGATCTTTAGGTTTTGGACTGTATTTATCAAACTAGTCTAGGCAACCTCCTAGAATAAGCTTGATTGGTAAGATTTGACCCCTGGTCTCACACCTGAAAGTTGGAAACTAGCCAACTATTCTAGCCTCATATTTCCCAATTTTCACTTATTCCCTTTGCCCACAATTATATGCAACAAACCCATATTTTGCGGACTCCTAGGCAAAATTTCTTAAATAAGATTATTGAAAAGTTAGAGGAGAGACAAGGGATAATTAATCCAAATTTTTTTTAAAAAAAAAAATTAAACAGAGGGAACCACCACCACTCACGACGTCTCACAACAACCACGTCCACCAACGTAACCCCCGTGAAACCCACCATCACACGAACTCAAAGAACCGAAACCCACTACTACACGAACCCAGACCAGTGAAACCCAACAGCCCACAAACCTAGACCCTGAAAACCTACCGCCCTACGACCCCACGAACCTCAAGAAATCCTCGAACCCAGACGACAACCCTCGTACGAACTCAGATCTGGAATCGAAACACAAAGGTGGTCTTCTTCTTCTTCAATTCACGAGAATGAGTTGAAGGAGGAGAGAGTAAGATAATAAGAAAATGAAGAAAGGTTAAGAAATTTGAAGATGGAGGAGGAGAAAGAAAGTCATTGGGGGAGATGTAGAAGATGAGTTGAAAGAGGGTGCCCCGTTCAATATGTCATATTAAGGTTTTTTTTGTTAATATGATGGCATTTTCGAAATTATTCAAGCGTCTTTCAATATTTTAAGGTTTTCATGGTTTTTAGCTGACATGGCACATAACTGTGGAAGTTAGAGCTTGGTTAACAATTTGAATCCCGTTTTGTCTTGAATTTAGGAATCTCTATCTTTGGCTCACCCCATTGTTAACGAATCTGGAATCAAAAGCTCCATATGAGCTTTCATCTTCTCAAGCTTTCACCCTTTATTAAAGATGCTCAACCTTTCGTCCTCCATTGAAGATGCTTAACCATATCCACCGTCACCATATTTCCAGAAATTAATGAAAACCCTAAGATTAAAAGTGAAACAAAGGGTGGTTAACCATAAAGGGTAGGGATTTGTCCTCATCTTTGATATCTCCATTGTAGTTGACCATTGAAGATTTCTACATTACTCACTCGCCGCAACGACCTCCTCAAACCTTCATAATTAGTACCGCATTCGATTGTGGGTACTACCATTCTGGTCGACTATACCTCCACGATAATTACGAACGGTATTCAAATCATCGATTATGCAATTCGACTTCCAATCAGCAATCCAATACCAACTTGAAAGGAAAACTAGAAAATCAATTTCGCAATTTTATTTGGATGGATGATTGCAATTTTGAAGAAGGGAGACATAGAAACAAGCGGGGTTATTTTCAACGGAAACGAACATGTTTTTTTTTTTCAACTGATTGTTGACCATGTACAAGTTGACGCCGGTAGTGAGCAGTTACCGACTTCTTTTAATTGGACGTCATAACCCTTACTAAAGCAGTTGAATTGTCAATTCCACGCCCATAGAAACTGTCTTTGTTAATATGGCATATCAATAAGGATTTACTCTGTGTTGAAAATTATGAGATTAGTAACATTATATTATTTCCTCAAAAAAAAAATTATATTAGTTTTAATTACTTTTGTTTTAAGTATGTAATTAAGGTTATAAATTTTTAAGTAAGGGCATTATAGTCAACTTGTCGGAATTTTTTTTTTTGAAAAATCATGAGATTAATAACATTATATAAGCCTCAAAAAAAAATTATATTAGTTTTAATTACTTTTGTTTTAAGTATGTAATTAAGGTTATAATTTTTTAAGTAAGAGCATTATACTTCGTAGTCAATTTGTCGGAAAAAAGTTAGTCCCTCCGTTTTAGAATGATGTTCCTGTTTCGTAAATCGATGTAAATTTTTACTCATCTTTGACCGCAAATATCTTTAATCTCACACTAGCAAAAATTATAAAAGTCAGATACTAATAATCTACTCACCAAGACGAATCAAATTAGATCTCACATGACTATATTTGTTCTTATAGATTAAGAGAAATTTAGAAGATTATCTCTTGTTAAAAAAAGTCAAAGGTTCCAAACAACAACAAGGAGTACTAAAAATGGAAAAAAAAAACATTTATTGCACATAATTGAGAGCACCTAAGTACTCCGTATAATATAACTATTTATTGCTAGGCGGAGGGAGTATTCGAGGAATTTTTTTGAGCCCTTTCCCTAAATAATGTTGGGAAATTATCTAATTCCCTAATTACAGCTACTCTTTTTTTAATTCCCATTATACCGTCCACGTCAGCTAAGGAAAACAAAACCGGTTTTTTTTTTCTCGGTTTTGTAAACCGCTACTTCAAGTAGCGGTTTTCCTCAAAACACTGCTAAGTAGCGGTTTATGGGTTTGTTTTGTGAGTTTTTCTTTAAAAACAAAATATTTGTAAATCAGTCAAAATTAAACCTTCAAGTACTTGAATAGTTGTATCCCCAAGTTCCATAAACCTTTGATAATCGATGCAATTTGACGTGCAATCGGTGTCGACAATCACAAATCCTTTGATATATCCTCCTTTCTGGTTATATTCTCACAACAATCATTGTCGACAAACAACCGTAGAAAGGCGTCGATGGGGGCGAAAACGACTTCCAACGCGAGGGATTGCTGCGTTGGAAGGCTACTTGAGGAGTGTCGTTTGAATTTTTATTTATTTATTTTTCTTTTTGGATGATTCTGCTGAATTACTTTACAATGGAAGGGGAGAAAGTGATTTTATTAAAAAATTAATTAGTAAATACAAACCGCTACTTGAAGTAAACTGCTACTTGAAGTAGCGGTTTTCGCTAGCACACCGCTAAAGTAGCGGTTTTCTAATAATCCCGTTTTTTTAAAAAAATTTCACTGAACTGACGACGTGGACGGTATGGTGGGAATTAAAAAAAGAATAGCTGTAATTTGGGAATTAGATAATTTCTCAACATTATTTAGGAAAAGAACTCAATTTTTTCATAAGATTTTTATTTTGGGACCTACGGAAGTACGGAATATACTTAAATACACCGTAGACTCGAACTCGAAGTATACTCCGTAAGTCCGTAAGATCGTAGAAGTAAAGTAAGAACCTCCGACTTCGCTACAGGCAGAAACCAAAGTAGGAGAGAGAAATAGAAAGCGAGTGTTTCTGCAAATTCGAAGCAAATCGAACAAAATTTGAAGGGATTAAATTCTGAAAGATGAAGGATGAAGGAGAAAAACGGCAGCAAATGATGCAAAATCTCTTCGGAGTTAATTCTGATGATGAAGAAGAAGAGGAAGAAATTGATTCCGAGCATGAATCTAATCAACACCGCCCCAATTATGTTTCAGTAAGTTTTAATTTGTTTTTTGAATTCAATTTGATTGTGTGTTCGTTGTTTTTATGATTTCTGGATTTGATTTTAGGTTTAGGGTTTGATTTATGTTTATTAATTGTAAGTTTGATTTGGTTGGGGCAATGTTTGATACTTGATTGAGGTGAAGTAAACCCAAACATCGACACGAACACGAACACGACCCGTTTAACCTGCTATTGGAATAGTAATGTGTTGATTTAGGTTCTTTTTGGGTGAAAATAATGTGGGAATCCAATTTTCCTTTGAATTAGGGCAATGCTAGTAACCTGTTTATGTTTTTTTTGAAAAGAGAAATCGTATGGTACTAAGGGCCTGCTCTTCAGCTTATTTTCAATTCAATTCCGTTCAGTTTAGTTCCTAATTTCCTTCTATCATAAAATATTCAGTTCAGTTAAGCTTTAATCAGTTCAGTAAATCAGAATGGACCCTAATATACACAAACATTGACACATATACGACCCGTCTACTCAAAAGGGCAGTTATTGAAATAATAAGATGTATCAATTTAGGATCTTTTTAGGTGAAATAATGTGGGAGTCAATCTTCCTTTGAGTTAGGGCGATAATAGTAAGCTGAATTATTTTGAAAATGGAAATCATACAGAAGATATCATTATACTACTAAAAATGTGTGTGGGAAGTTGGGAGTTGGTACCCATTAATGTTGTGTATATGGCTTTATATCATGGAGTTCATCTTCGATTTCTACCAGAGTTTATCTTCTTTTTGTAGTAGGTTTTATATCATGATCCCCTCCGGAGTTCATTTATGCTTTCGGTATACTATGCTTTTTACTTATCATTGGCATGTGAATTGAGATTGACAGTAAGTAGTACTGGATAAAGAAGCTTTTTTACTCATTTCATTTTTGGTGTTTGTAGTATTTTACCAAAGCATTGTAGAATTTGTGCTTAGTGCTTATGGAAATCTTGTATTGTGAGGGATAGGATGAAAATGATGGAGGTGCTGAACAAGAGGTTGAAGCTGAAGCTTTTGTAGAGGGGCAAGGTGAGGCAGAAGGCGAGAGTGAGGGTGAGTATCGTGAGGAAGAACCAGAAGTTGGAGAAAGTGAAGGTGAGAGAGAACAAAGTTCTCAAGAAGTAGAGGTTGGTGAGCAACATGAAGAAAGTGAGGCAAGAGAATCTGATAGTGATGAGAAAGAGGATTATGCCCAAAAAGTAGTAACTAGTAGAAGAAGGGATGTAGTTGACAGTGGATCAGAAAGGTCTGAAGAACAAGAACCCCATTACATTGACCCCGATGATGAAGAAGTTGGTCAGACTAGAAGCCACGGGTAATTCAAATTCTTCAATTTTATTTATTTATTTATTTATTTATTTTTGGTGTGTGTGTGTTTGTCAAATTACAATGTTTATCGTCTTCCAGATGTTTCTTGAACAGTTATTTTTGCTGAATATCTTTTATTTCGGATAGCATTGTGAATAGATAAAAAGTTCTGAACAAAACCTCTTCTGCTTCTTTCTGCAGAAAGCTACTAAGGCAAATGAGTGTTCATATTATTTCCTTTCTCCACTTTCTTTGTTATGTCATGTGATTCATGCTAGTTTCCCCTATTAATTGTTGACATCTTATTTCATTTTCTACATGAAGAGCTAACTCCTTATATCTGAAGCAATTTGATTTGTGACATGGTATCCTCATGCTGTGGTTTCAAACAGAATAAACTTGCATGAAATCATGGCTAGATAACCTGCTAGCATATGTTGTAAATTGGATTCATATTTAGGGCTAATCTATTACAGGCTATAAGCTATGGTTAAGTATCTAAATATTGTAACTAGGGGCAACTGGTATAAGCCGTAGTCTAATTGTGCTATGATTTTACACTCAAATGATTTACATGAGTAATATTATTATTAAGCTTCTCAACTCATGTTATAGGATTTCATATCTTTTAGTAGAGAGATGAAGCTGGCAGATTTGGCACTGGTTTTGTGTGTTCTTTTTTAATTACACTAGTCAGCTTTTTTAAGAGGTACGAAGCATATATTGGCTGTTTAATTGCCTTTCCTCATGTCAATAGGCTAATTTCTGATGGCATTGTTGTTTGCTTCCCAAGATAGTCATTGAGTTCCCTGTGTAGTAGCTTATGACAAATTATATTTTCTTGTTTGGATAACGTAAAATTATACCTATGTTATTTTCAATCATTGTCAAGTCTGTTACTGATTGGGAATTTTGATATCATATGTTTCAATATGTGTCTCACCTCTTTATGAACTGGGCACACAACCAACTTAATATAAGTTATTTAATATGATTAGTGGATGTGAATGATTTGGCACATTTGTTTACAATGGGACAGATGATGGGATGTACGATGGAATAGAGGATCTCTATTGGGAAAAACAAACTTTAATCAAGTGCTAGTTGTTATAGTAATTTTCAGCCTTAATGCTGGCAAGCTGATGATATATGATTGTTTGCGTGATTGATACAATAGAACGTATTGGGTAAATAGGTTATCGACTTAACTTAAAATGGCATCAACTTATACTTTCTTTTCAGGGAGCCAATATTACTTAGCCTTGCTAATCATAAAAAAATACCAAAGGACTATATATCATACTATCACATCATACTGTGTTGAATACACCTGTTAAAATAAAAGCAGAAGTTATATTGCTCCCTTCACTTATTGAATCAGTGCTACATTAAGCAATCAACTTTGCATATAGCAGCACAACTAAAGCTTTATTTGATTGTGTGACTAGTTTAAGATTTATTCATATTTTACTTTTAAGGTGGACATATAGCATTTGAGAAGAAAAATCCAAAGTGTCAGAGAGAGGTAAACAAGGGAAAGAGAGAAAATTGCTTCATTGGTTTGTGAACTTTGAAGAGTTAACTTTTCTTAGATTGTTATTTTATTTATATTCTCAACATTCATATCACGAAGTGTAATTAAGTGGTACAAGCGAGTAAGGAACGCCCCGTGATTGACCTTAGTTAGATAAGGAGAGGGGAGACTATGATATAGTTTAACAAAAGATTGGAGTTCAAGCAAAGGCCTGAAGGGAGGGGGTGTATTTTTAATGGTGATGATTTTAAAAGGTAGCTTACTAATTTACTAAAGGGTTAGAGGGGGGTGCTTGTCAGGGAAAATATGAATGGGAAATGAGACACATTCATCCCTAATTATATGTTGCTAATCATGATGTTTAAGAAATGATATTTTAAAGATCCACATCCGGAGATTACTGGGTTAGTGGTGTTCGATCTGGTTGAAACATAAAATACTTTTTGAAACACTATCCTGCATTCAGTTATGAAGTAGTATTCTTATTTACTGAACAAAAATATTTAACAGGGAATCTCCTGAAGAAGAGAGGGATATGACTCATGTAGCTCAATCAACTGCTGAAATTCGTGACGTATTTGGAGATTCTGATGAAGAAGAGCCAGCAGATTATGGTGTTCAGCATGATATGGAGCAAGTAAGGTTTTAGCTGTATTATTTTTATCTGTTTGGTTTTATTAACTGCTGCTGTGTATAGAGGTAAAACATTTTCGTTTCGTTTAATAGAGGTCCCCTGTTGAAGAAGAAGAAAGCTATGAGAAGAATCTGAGGCCGGATGATTTAGTTCGTGACGAGGATGCACAATATGGGTCAGAAGAAGAAATTGAAGCTAAGCTTAAAGAGAAACCTGTTGGCCCCCCAATGGAGTTAGAAATTCCTTTGCGTCCACCTCCTGCAGACCCTGAGAAGGTAATATCCTCTCCTCTCATTCCATATTCAAGTTTTTATATCCAAGTACACAAGGCCTGAAATTTTTTGTCTTATCCTCTCCTCTAATTGGGTTGTTGCTAATCATGTGGGGTAACTGCTGCATGGTAATTTAATTTTTTGGCAAACATGATCAAAGTTTGGTATGTCATGGGCTTTGATCGTTTGATTTTTTCTTGCATTGTTTGATAGATTATCATTGCGGATGGAATTATGTGAATCGTAGTTGATATTCCTTTAGATTTCTGAATATTTTGGATTAATTGGAAAAATCATCCTTTCTAAGAGTGTGTTTGGATTAATGGAAATGGAGGGAAGGAAAATGGAAGGAGGGAGTATCTTTTATTTGGATAGCAAATTAGGGATGAAATGAATCAGAGGGAAGAGAAATGGAGGGATTAAATTTTAAGAAAATGATCCCTCCAATAATGGAGAGATTTGGAAGGAAAACCCATTATTCTTCCTTCCCCTTCCCTCCCCTCCCCTCCCCTTCTTTTCCATCCCTTAACATTAACCAAACAAACTGTAAGGATTTGTTTGTCTTGTATTGTTTTATCTTATTTTATTTTAGGAAAAGTAAGTTGAGATTGCTTGGATAAAATAACATATATTAAGTTCAAATATAATACTTCCTCCGTTTTTCTTTATTGCACCGTATGAACTTTTACACTATTCACTTAATCTTCTTTGATCATTTTTTGTGATTTATCCTTTATGAAAAACGTCAACATGTGGGATTTACTTAGATTCGTCTCAAAATCTACTTTTCATATCATTTTTTTTATAATATTTATAAAAGTGTAATTTTTTTTTGAATAGTACAAAAGTGTAATTAAAGATATTAATAACCAAAGTAATGCATTGGGAAACGCGAAATCCCTCATGGTGCAATAAAAACATAAAGTTAGAACAGAGGAAGTGAAAATAATTTAGATAAATAAAAAATACTAAAAATAAAATAAAAAAGTTCAGACAAAATAAGTTCAGAAAATTCAAATATTATAATCAGATAAAATAAAATAATGTCAGATGAAATAGATTAAAATATTTTCAGATAGGACAATGGAAATTTATTTTAGACAAAATTAGATGAACCAAACAGAGCCTAATTTTCCAGCTTGTGTATTATGGCAGTTTGGTCTGCTGTTAATAGTTATTTTGTACCTGATGTGTTGTAGCTTGAATTTTCTCACAGATGAACATGATTAGAGTTTCGAATATTATGGGTATTGATCCAAAACCATTTGATCCCAAGACATTTGTGGAAGAGGACGTCTTTGTGACTGACGAATCTGGTGCCAAAAAACGAATTCGTTTGGAGAACAACATTGTACGTTGGAGAACTGTGAGAAAGCCAGATGGAACATTAGCTGTAAGTGAAACTTCTCTATTCTATCCCACATGGATACCTGCATATCATACTTCTGCTTTAAACTTGTTGAACTGTTGGGGCTATCTGCTCTAGACCACTGATTGGAAGTTATAAGCTCCATTGAGTCATGGACATTAACAGCAGATGATGGATAGTCTATAAAGCATTTGATTTAGTCCATTATTTGATCCAGAATTCCGGATACATTACTGAATACTGAAAATTGTCCAATTAAACACTTCTTATGCTGTCCAGTTTGCCTATCGGAAACCCTCTCATGGTGCTATATATTGTTTATACAGTAACATCTTAATAAATATATAGTTTTTTTTTTTTTAGAAAAAATGGGACTGTGCTATTTTACTACATTGGGGACTGGTTCTTTACTTCTTTCTGTCAGAACTTGTAGATATTGATGTGTTGTATACATAATTAGTTAATTACTACCTCCATTTCTTTATAGTTGCAACAGAGGGGTACTATTTGTGAGACATATAAAATTCCTTTATTGCAACTAAAAAGAAACAGAGGTAGTATATTACTTGTTATAGAGATTCAGAACCAGCTAGTAAAGTAGGTCAGCTGTGTCTTTGTGTAGTGTCTTAGCTCCTTTTCAAAATCACTAAATTGTTATCATTTTGTTCCAGAACCTCCTATTTCTTCTGGGCATTTTGATTCAATTATCTTTGTTCTCGAAGGGCGAGATTGTTGGGGGTTTACTTTCCTGGTTTATAGTTTATACCTCCAGACTTATAGAGTTCTGGGTGTATCCTTGATCTAGTCAAATTATCAAGTTTTAAAAATTTGTTAATGTATAAATTTATTGCTGAATTGCAGCTCTGATACAATGTAAATGTTTTAAACTGAAAGGGAAGAAAAATTCTGCGGTCTGGAAAGATAAACTCCTGTTATAGAGCTAATTCTCATATTTATATTGGTGAATGCCCGAATGGATCGGCTTTTTTATAAACATAACTTCCAGCTTTTAGATGATGTTGGGATGTAGCTTTTAATTGTATGTGATTATATCACTGAATGTTATTTCTTCCATTTTTAGATTTTTTTTCCCAACATCTTGGTTTTGATTGCCCTCTGCTAGTTACATTTGGTTGAACTATGTCTTCTACTTTGTCAAACATAATTGTCTGGTTCCTTTTTTCTGTATCCCAATATAATTTGCACTATCCTTTTCTGGGAATTCTCTGTTTATCCACTCCAGCTTGCCTTCACTTTCCCCTACTTTTCTGTATGTACTTAACAGTTTTTCTTATTTATCCCTTTTTTACTTTTCTCCTTCTATGTTTGCTCAAAAGGCTAATGCAAGTTTTTATGGGATGGAGGGAGTTTTAAATTATTCTATGCTTCTAGCCTATTCAACATTTATTTGTCTTTCTCAGTATGAGAGCAATGCACGCTATGTGAGGTGGTCAGATGGCAGTCTACAATTGCTGATCGGGAATGAGGTTCTTGATATATCTGTGCAGGATGCTCAGCATGATAATGCATACCTTTTCCTTAGACATGGCAAGGTATTTATTTTTGTTCCTCCTTTTCTTCCTTCTCCAATCTCTAGCTTGAAATTATTCTAAATTACATAGTTGGTCCCATTTTTAACCCTTGGTATCTCTGTTTCTTCATATCTTGGTATAATGAGATGAAAACTGTCAATGCATATCCATCTGGAGTGCAACCCAACTGATCAATTCTGATGGTATATGGTTATTTATACAATAAGTTAGAGGATATTTTAACCAGAGGTTTGAACAGTGACCTGTTCAGTGCATGACTGGTTGAACTTATATTGAGACTCATTAATTATGGAAAGGAATCAAAGGAATTCGTTAAGAAGCAGAATATGAAAAGAAGTTCTCGCATGTCTACACAAGTAATCTTTACTTGGGCAGAATAAATTGATCTGGTCCAGTGCACATGGTTCTCAGTTTTTACGTTGCATCTTGTCTTATCCTTTAGTTTGCATTCACTTTTGAGTCTTTTACACATCTCAAGGAGGAGGGCTATGTAGAATGGGAATTCACCCAATTAATCTGTCCATATCTGCTTAATATTCAGATTGAGGGTTTAAGAGAAACCCTAATCTACCTAATGAAAGCAATGTCCATCACAACAAGATGTAAATAAAGTGTTCAAGCTGAACACCATGCTCGCTGCACCAGCTGGTTGTCTCCATTCTCCCGTGAGCATATTTCTGTATCCTAGCAGTTTCTCTCTGCTCCGGTGCTCCCTCATGTGGCTGTTGTTCTTTTTCTCCCCCTTTTCTCTCTCCTCATTCAATTGAGGGCTGATGTCTGTTGTTTTCTTCTTTCTATTTAATTGTTTGTGTGCGTGTAAAGTACGAGGCAGTAACCTAACTGTAGCTTTTCAGCTACCAGGGGCTTGCCCGCAGATCAATTTTCACCTGTAGCAGGGGTGTGTGTGAACTGTGAAGAGGTGTTGCTTTCCTTTTTGAATTTGATATGTTGATTTTAATTATGGACAAGCAGTTTGCAGATTTAACTTCTTGCTTTCAACTTGTATTTCTGTGACCACTTTGTTTCTTACTATTTACTGGCGGCCAAAATCTATGGATATCTTGAGGCGATTAACGGTTTAAATAAAAATTATTGTGTACACAACTTTTGAAACTTTTTAACCCATTGGATTACTTTTTTTTTTTTTTAAAAAAAATAAATTTACTGTAAGCATCAACTGCAAAATAACAACTATTACTGACTTTCCCAACCCCCCATACCTGATAGCTTTCTCTTAGAGTGTGCAAGATGCGACTATGTGTATATTTTCCTTGGGGAAATTTGGGACCAAGATTTTGTGGCTGCTGACAGTCTTGCTCAATATGGCGACTTAGGATTTTGATACCTCAAGTGTATACTTGTATGGATATTATTATAGATTTCCAGCCCACTTAAAACATTTTCAGTGACTCTGCAACAAGAATAGTAACAATCACCTGGTATGCAGCCTATTTATAGAGAGTGCAAACTCAATTTTTGAGACTCTTTTCTTTCAAACTTTCACAGCAGGCTCATGTCTATTGCTCATTAACTACTTATCTCTAATAGCTTTATTGTTCGTTCCACACCAGATACTTTTTAAAGTTTAAACTAATGTCTTTTTTGGGAAACTCTTTGTCTTCCTCAATTTGGTAGCAAACTCTTCTAATGCTTCTAAGTGTTGTTGACTTATATGCATGTTCTGATTCCTTGTGGCCTGTTCTTAATTGCTGGGCAGCTGCATACCAATTTAACTCTATCACAAATCTATATCTATCATTGCTGGGTTTATTTTCACTTGATAATTGTATTTTGGATATATTTGTGTCAGGGAATTCTTCAATCACAAGGCAAGCTTCTTAAAAAGATGAGATTTATGCCATCATCTCTGACATCAAATTCTCATCGCTTGTTGACGGCACTTGTGGACTCGAGGCATAAAAAGGTCTACAAGGTTAAGAACTGTATAACTGATGTTGATCCTGAGAGGGAGAAAGAGCAAAAAGAAAAGGTAATTGGTATCATTGAAAAGCTTTTGCTTATAAACCATATGGTTGTGCAGATGTTAAAGATGTGTCTTTGCAGGCTGAAAGTCAGACAATCAAAGCCAATTCGATTCTGAACAAGAAGCGTGAGAGAGTGAATCGGAAGTACGCAAAATCATCAGATAGAGGTCGACAACTTTCTCCTGGATTTTTAGAGGACGCACTTGAAGAGGTTCTTTCTCAATCACCTCTGTCTATAATGTGCCTGCATATTATGTTAAATAATATATAATAACTTTGAGGTCATCTTGTTTCAAATACTTTTAAGCCAAACTAGGAGCTAGTCTTCCTCTTTGCTTAATGACTGTAGTTTGAAATAAGGGAATTGCTCCTTTTGAGTTGACTATGTAGTTTGCAAGAATAACAAACACTGTTAACGTTGGTATCTTGACAGGATGACGAAGCAAATTATTATGATCCTCGTCGTGATAGGCATCGTTTTGAGGATGAGCTAGAGGCAGAAGCTAGAGCTGAGAAGCGCATCATTAATGCCAAGAAGGTAAGAGTTGATGTTAATGTCTCTCATTTTTATCATGTATATAAATATAAATATATGACCTCATATGAGTGATCTCTTCTTGATGGTATTGTTTTTGCTTTAAGGCTCAAGGGCATAAAGACATTCCTCGAAAATTATCAAATGCTCCAAAAACTTCTCGACGCCCAGTGGATTTCTCTGACAGTGAAAGAGACGAGTCCGAATATGAAACTGATGGTGGGGAAGAGGAAAGATCTCCTGAACGTAGAATGGAGGATTCAGAGCCAGAATGGAAAGATTCAGAGGATGAGGAGCAAGGGGAGGCTGTTGGTGGAGCTTCAGAAGAGGAGGCTGAGGTGTGCAATTGGCCTACTTCATATGTTTTTTCCTCAGCTGAAATGATTTTGAAGATGATTTGGAAAATGTGATTTAGAAAGTTTGTTTTATGAATTATCATTTTAATGTGCATATAAGATGGAGTATAATTTATGATGTTTTAGGCTGTAATGCTTAGACAGCAAGTCAATATTGGACTAGTTAAAAAGTTGTTATGCATATACCTGATAATAATCATATTTCATATTGTTGCAGTGCAAAATCTTTTTTTATCCATTAATGGTGTTTATTAATGCATGAGGTTTTCAGTTTCATCCTAAATTCCTTTATGCATTTGTTTCTATATTAGGAGCCAAAGCAGATGACCAAGGAAGCTAGAGGTAGCCTTAAACGTAAGGAGATAGATTCGGATGAGGAGTCTCCTCGTAAGAAGCCTACTACACATCGTCGGATGGCAGTTGTTTATGAGAGTGATGAGGATTGAAGCGTTTATTGATCAAAATTCAAAAGTGAGTATCATCCTTCTATTTTAGCAAGCACGTATTACGTTTTTGTGAACTGAATTTGACATTGCGGAGTAGTCTGTTTGTTTTTTATGACATCAATATCTTATTCTCGATACACTTTTTGAGGACTGAGGTAATGACACTTGAAGGACTAACATTTACCCAATAACATTCATGTGAGCAGAACATTACTTGAAAAGTTTTCTATTTAACCCTGATTCCCGAGGACCTTGCTATTTCAGCCTTTGTATGTTGTCATTACTCTGATTGTTTCCCGGTTCATGTCACTTAAATTTTCTCTCTCTCTCTCTCTCTCTCTCTCTTTCTATCTGCCTGCTGAGTTGAGATGCTTTAGATATAAATTTATTTGGAGTGCACAATTTATCTCTGAACATTATGTGTAATTTTTAAAAAAGATATTCTTTAGCTAATACTGCCTTCGTATCGATTATTGAGACAATGAGATACATTATTTCTGATCTGTGCACAAATTTTGCATTTATTGAAGGTGTCCAATACACATCATCTTAACTTCAGTTAAACAAATTTTCAGTTCAGATTGCATAGCAATTCATGTCCTGGGGATGATGCATGGTGCTTATCTTGATTCCTGTGGACAATGCAGTTTCAGTCCTTACGTAACAATTCGTGGAGAGGGTTTCTAAAAGGGTTTCCGAAAGGAAGAAAGAGAATAATTATGGTTCAAATGTGTTATTTCTCTTAATTAGTGGCATAATAAATACAAATTTCGGCTTCCTGTTGATAAAGAGTATATAGATGATTTGTGTAAAATTGTGTTGCAAGTGATGGCTAATTTAGAGTTGTTAGGATTTTTTTTACATGAAAGGAGATATCATGATGTAATTCTTTTCCTTTTTATGAAAAAAACGGAATTTTTACAATCTTTCACATCACTTTACAAGTTTACAGTTATTTTTGCTCTATTTTGTCAAATTGTGGTAGTGGCCTACTAACCTGACTTTTTTCTTTTCTTTTTTTGTAAGGTGTCCTACTCCCTCCGTCCTCGAAAGAACGATCCATTGGCCTAATTTTAGTCTCAAAAAGAATGACCCATTTGCATTAAAATCCCCACCAATTTGCTATAATATTTGTGCAAAATTAGCTTTCCATATAAAATTTTGTTTCTCTATGTACGTTTATTACTTTCTCTCTCTACTTTTTTACAAACCAAACCCCATGTAAATTTATCTTTCCAATACACTTTTACTTCTTTTTATTTAACTTTCTTAATACCCGCGAAATCAAAATCATCTTGAAATATAAAATTATTTAGAAGGTCTTGTATGGACTTAATCTACACTAAGTTATTGTAGACCCATTCTTTGCCACTTTCAAATAATATAATCACATTGTGGATGATATAATTACTTTCTTAAATGATGTAATTATGCTGTTGTGAGTCATATTGTGTGAATGATATATTCGTATTTTAAGATGATATAATAATCTTTTGGATGAATTACTTTTTGATACTTTTTTTTTTTTTTTTTTTTTTTTTTTTTTTTTGTGGTTGTTGTTGTTGATGTATTCACTTTTTAAATGATATACTACGTATTTACATTGGAAATGATATAATCAGTTTTTAGACGATAATACATTTCGTATGATATAATTACATTTCAAAAATACAGTAGATGGTTGGGTGCACGTACAATAAGTTATTGTGCACCCTATTCTAAAATTTTTAAATTTTTTTTTTGAGGGATTTTTTTAAAAATTATTTGATCTGAACATATAAGGTGTTGGAATTCATTACATCTGATAAAATTTGATTAAACCAAGCTAGGGAGTAAATTTTGTTGGACCAAATTAAAATACTTTGTATATCGGAGCTTATTTAACTTACCTATTAAAATTTATTGGACTTTAAACTTATTTGTGATAACATATGTGTTTTGCAAATCTATTAACTATTACTAAAACAAAATATACTGATGTCATCAATTCCTTAAAGTATCCTATGTGTCAAACTATCATTAAAAATATTTCCTCCAAATTTATTTATGATATCATCAAATTTTTTTTTTTTTTTTTTTTTTTGCCCTTTCCTTTTACTAGCTAGATTTTAGGATTAAGTAGGTTTAAAACTAAAAATACGAAACTTGACTTTGGCATCAATATTGTTGTATACTCATTACCACGGTTGAATCTTTTCAATATACAACAATATTAGATATTGATAGCTAATTATATACATTTTTTAAGTTTCCACTCTAAACATATAAGCTCAATAGATGATGATACATTAAATATATTTTGTCTAGCCATCATTTTAGAAAATTTTACATAACATTGTAGTAAATATTATAATGCAACAATAAATAATAAACATTAAAAAAGACTATGTATATGTTTTGTTAATATTTATATACCAAATTTAAAAACAATCCAAGTTATTTTAAAATGATATCAACAACAAAATATATAAAAAAACTATGGAAACATTACTTATCACCACCGTGCAATGCACGGGTACTATACTAGTGAGCTAAGAAATCTCCTCAATATCAAGTGGTTAGAGTTTTCCTCCCGATTTCATGAGATTTTGGGATTGATTATCTTTTTAAACACCAAAAAAAATGTTAAAAATATGAGTAATAAAACGGTAGAAGAGTAGATGAAAGATATTACGAAAAACTCCGTATATTTAGGGGCCGTTTGGTTGGGGGTAATCAGGAAAGGGAATGAGAATCAACTGGGCCCATTCCCTCTGTTGATGTTTGTTTAGCACTTTTAATCATTCCCATTACCCTCCCCATTACCCCAAATCCTTCCAACTCCATTCCCCACCCCCCTATACTTTCCCATTCCCTTTCCCTACCCACCTTCACACCACCACATCACCACCTTCACACCTACCAACACCACCGAAAAATCAGCCCGACCACCGCCGCCCCTACCCCGACCACCGCTGCCCCTCCCTCAAACCTCGCCGCCCTCCCCTCCCATGCAAAAACCACCCCTAGCCCCGATCTCTCTCCCACCACCCGCGAAACCCTAGCCGCCCCTTCCCCTCCCCTCGTCGCCCACCGATAAACGCGTGCCGCTCAAAACCCCCTCCCCTTGCCGCCCACCGATAAACGCGCTACGCTCAAAACCCCCTCCCCTCGCCGCTCAAAAACCCCTCCCCTACCTCGAAAAACCTCCGAAAACCCTAAGGGAGGTTTTTCGAGGGGAGTTTCGTCGTTTTGGGCCCAACGAGTGGTGGGGAGAGTTTGCGAAGGGCGGCGAGGGGAGGGGGAGGGCCGGCGAGGGGTTTCGTGGCTGGGAATGATGAAAACCATGTGAATTGTGTGGTGGTTGTGGTGGTGGTGGTGTGGTTGTGGGATTGATTCCCTTGTTTTAAAAACAAACAACGAAGCAAAAAAAAGGGTATTTTCATTCTATTCTTCTCCTTTTTCTTTGTTCATTCTATTTCGATTTCCTTGTGTGAACCAAACGACCCCTTAATATATACGGTATTTCTTTATTTTGGTGAGTTATATAGTTAATGGTAGTTGGGTTGTTTAATCCATTTGTCAATTATATGGCCACGTAGTCAGCTAGTCCGATAAAAGACCCATGTTCTAGAATCTAGAAAACTGCCCACTGATTTTTATTTCCTAAAGTAGCAAACATCTGTTCCGGTTCAATCTAGACTTTTCCATTTCAATATCCATTTTTTTTATGACTACTTTTTTTCTTTTTTCTTTTTCCTTTTTTTTTTTTTTTTTTTAATATTCTTGCTGGGTCCAATGCCTTTCTATACGTACAAAACTACAAATCATTAACACAAATACGTGGCTTTATTCTCTCTACTTTCTACTCCATCCGTTCCGTAATATAGTTTTTATTTGTATTTTTCCGGGTATTTAAGAAATAGGAGGAGAAAGTAGATAAAATAAAAGTGAAACATACAATATAGACAAAAGTTAGAGAGAAAGTAAGAAAAGTTTAAAACATGTGCAAAATTCAAGGGTAAGACATTTTTTTTGTAGCTATAGATCATAAAAAGTTAGTCAAAATATAATTTGTGAATATTATAAAAGTAAAATGGTGTCGACTAAATTAAAGCTATAGATCATAAAACAGTTCGTCTTATGTGTGGCCAACCGCACCGTGTGACCATTTAAAAGAACAAAGTAACCCATTTTAAATTGACCAAGTAACCCGTATAATATATACTAAGTAATCCATATAAAACTAACCAAGTAATCAAATAACACCGACGAAGTAACCCGTATAATATATACTAAGTAATCCATATAAAACTAACCAAGTAATCAAATAACACCGACGAAGTAACCCGTATAATATATACTAAGTAATCCATATAAAACTAACCAAGTAATCAAATAACACCGACGAAGTAACGCTTTTTACACTGACCAATTAACTCCTATTACACAAACGAAGTAACCCCTATCACACGGCAAAATAATACGGAGCACTATAAATTTTACAAACCTAAACCTGGAATACCCTGTGCGTGGTGCGGTGGTGCACTGGGAGTAAGATATGGATAAAAATATTAACAAATGGAGTTCTGCAATTAATCCCCCTTACTCCCAAAAAAAAAAAAAAAGAAAAAAAAAAGCGCAAAGTAATAATGAAAATTCTAGTAAATTCTAGGAAAATCATCCGACTTCCAGACTCCTCTCTCTCTCCTCATCAAAAACCCCTCCATTTCTTCGCTCATTCACTCACAATTCACAAACAATTTTTTGAACCAACACTAAATCAATTCAATCTCACCTTTTCTCTCTCATACTACGCTCTTCAATTTCGATCGTTTTCTTCGAAATCAAGAATTCACAGTTAGTTCGTCTTCAATTTTCATTTCAAAGCTTTTCGATTATTTCTCAAAGGTATTTGCTTCTTCTCCTACACTTTTCTTTTTGATTTTAGTTGTTTGTTTTCATTCTTATTTTGCATGTTTGATTTCCTTTGAATGTCTGCTTTTATATTGAATTTTGATGAATTTTGTTCTGTTTCTGCTCTGTTTCTTGATTATAACTTCTGTGTTTAATTATTTTGATTTACACTATATTAGTTTGAATTTTGAATCAGTGTTTTGAGTGTGATTTCATTTATTTTCTTACTTTTTTGTATGATTGTTGGTTGTAGACTTGTAGTGTAATAAACTGGAAAACTTCAATGTTAATCATTTTTGTGAAATTAGGGATGTGGTAGCTCTTAATTACACTGAAAATGTATGATTTGTTTCAATTTATTCGAATTTTGTATAATGTTATGTAGAATGCTGGAATCATTGTTATTTTGACATTATAATCATCAATGTTAATGCTTTTATGGATTTGAGCCAGAATTATAGTGTTCAAGTTAGTTTAATCCTGAAATTTGATTTCTGTATTGCATTACTATTGATAAATTAGTTATACAGAGGATGTTTATCGCACTGTGAGTTAATTGATATAGTAAATTTTGATAATCGAAAGGTATACTTTTATAATTGGATGCATTTCAATTGAAAAATCAGTATTTAGTAATAGGGATAATATTACTTGTGTTAATGGTTTGTGAATAATGGTGTATGAGTTCTTATAATTTGGTTGCACTTTGTTTGATCTTTGGTTTGTGGATTTGTAATTTTTTAGTGAATTGTTGAACTTACTTTTTGTGTGCAATGTACAATAGGTGATCGAATATGAATCCTGATAAGTTTACCCACAAGACAAATGAGGCACTACTTGCTGCTCATGAATTGGCATTGAGCAATGGACATGTTCAGATTACTCCACTTCATGTTGCCACCACCTTGATTGGTGAACCTGGTGGTATCCTTTGCCAAGCGGTTTCACATGCTGGTGGCAGCGATGAGGCTGCTAACTCGGTGGAAAGAGTGTTCAAGAGGGCTATAAAGAATCTTCCATCTCAAAGT